ATGTGCATGTTCACATCCCATATCAATATATTTTGTTCTTGGGCTTCGTCCGATGTGTGTCTTGAGTTGGGCCTTGTTTGGCATAGTTCCCAAGGTAGTTAAGTTTACAAGCGACGCACGGGTGATAGTTCGACCATTCTTCCCAGTGGATCCAGCTTCTCTTGTAGCAGGTAACCAAGCGGTGTTTTTTTTGCCATGTGAAAGCGGTCAGAAAATGCTTGCATGGCATACTGCACTGGCAGCTGCTTAAGACATGTTAAATTACCTCTGCGCTGAAGACTAGTTTTCTGTGCCTGACCTACCTCGGAAAGTCGTTGTAGGGGGGGGGGGTCCCCATGTCCTAGAAGTTGCAGTTCCATTGAAGCCAAACCGAGGAAGTTTAGCGGGCAGTTGGCATAAGGCTCGATGCAAGATATGCCCTTGTCATTCTTGAATGTTGGGTAAACTGGTTGAAGGTGGCATGTTGGGTACGGCCAACCCCCCTAAATTGGATTCCGAGACCTTGCCTGCGCACATCATTTATGGGATGTCATCTCCGGCAGCCACTTTTGAGGGTGTTCCACATTTCAATTCATGGCCGTATTTTTGTTAAGAGGTTTTCACATCCGCAGGCCCCCAGGGCCGTGGCCAGATTGCGCAGAAGCGGCACTTGCTGAAGCAGGCGAGCGGCGAGCGAGTGGCCGAAGGGCAGATGGCGTGGCAGTTTGCTGCTGTGCGAATTGGCTGTGGCTCAAAAATCAGGTACCGAAATGGAACCCTGGTAAGTGGAAACATGGACCAAATCCTGCGGTTTGCCTCTCCGATCGTTTAATTTTGAGCCACACCCAATTTGGTGCGCCCTTCTTGTTCTTGCTGGTGCGTAGGGAATGAGGGAATGAGCCTGAAAAAAGCATCCAAATGGTGGTGTGGACATGTCAATTTCCCTTCCCTTCCATGCAATAAATTAGACAGCTCGGGGCCCGGGGGTGTTTGGGACCCGGTCTCAAACCTGGCTGTTGGAGGGCCCTAAATTGATCGAATTGGAGCGTTTGGGTTAGTGAGCGCATTGAATCCCATCTGGCTGTGGGTCAAAACCCTGTACCCCTCTGGTGAACATCAAAATAGGTGGAACATGGGTCATCCGCCCCAAAATGGGATCGGCATAGCATCTCCTTGAGATGGGCATGGGTCAGAAAACAACCATCAGGAATTGGACCGCAGGTTTTAGACTTTGGTTCCATTTACCAGGGCAACCCATTTTGGGGATTCCGATTTTTGAGCCATGGCCAGATGGGCTTCCTCTGCGACTACGCCCGGGACGGCGTGGGCTCCACCATGCTCATGGCCCTCAGGGCCCCGCCTGGGCTCGGAGTCGTGGCGCATTCGTCGGAGCTGTCGAGGGAAGGAGTGAGAAGCCAGATGGGGTCGGGATTTCTTTTGTGGGGAACCCATTTTTGGTGGTTTTGAGGGGAAACCCCACCATGATGTGTGTCTCTTGTTTTTGGGGGGGAACCGCATTTTGGTGGGTTTAAGGGGAAGCCAATATGAACACCACAAAAGTCACACCCATTTTGAGACAGCTCAAAGTTTGAGACAGGGTTTTTTCTCCCTGTCACAACTGGTTTTGAGTATTCAGACTTCAGCCAAACCATCCCAGTGATTCCATTTACCAGCTGCAGGAGCAAAGGGACAAACACTTTAAAGGAGAATGGCTGGATACCTACTATAGCGGCAACTGAGATCCACTGGAAGTATTATTTGCAGCTCAGTGGTTTCGTTTGTTGTCGCTGCTTTTCAGTTAATTTGAACATGGTGAACTCATCCGCACATTCAGGGGTAAGACCCGCGCGCGGGTCTATGAAGGATCCCCAAGTTCGTTGATATGTGTTGCTTTAGGTCTGTGACATAGCGTGGAATTTGTGCTGCAGAATGCTGCATGTGTCATGAACCCCCAAGCCGGCCTTTGCACGTGGCGATGTGCAAAAACCACCGCCAGGGGAGATGTGGTTTGTCGGCGTTTGGAAGTGTGTACTTTTTGGGTTGCTGATAAACGGCGCATTTGGTGGTGAACTACTCCGATGCTGCAGGAGTTAGCAACTGAAGTGGCCGTAACAACCCACAACTAGCTCCAGGTCACCCTGCAAACCCTTGTAGCCAGGGTGGCAAACCCCTTGACCAACGCCCAGCCTGTCTCACACGACCAAAGACTAAGTATCCACAATACGTGGGGAAGCCCAAGTCAATTTGACGCTGGGTTCTTTTTCCCAGCAATCTACGCCGATTTGGGTGGGTCCTGCAACACGGGACAGCAGATATGGATTATACCCGGATGTTTAGGTCGTTTTGGGACAAATAGCATCTGTCCAGGTTCTTTTTCACATTCCCCTTACAGGCCTTTGGGTGATTGAGTTGCCCTTAGTGGGGCACACATGCCGTGGTATGCAAAATGTTGAGGGAGCCATGACCGAACGGTGGGCAATGAGACTTCAGCAACCAGCATCGCCGTTGTTTCTGACTTTCGGCTCCTTCAATTTTCAGCGAAGTCCATTCGTAGCTCGTTCCTTTTACAGCCAACCAAAAGGGCTGTCTTGTGTTTTTTTGGGGAACTAGGCAAGTAACTAAGTATGGATCCTTATCGCAGATGGCTGGCAAAACGCATCGCACACCGGACAAGCGTCGAAACACTGCTCATGCCTCTCATTTTGACTGGCTAGAGTCCCCAGAGGGCACTCCATGTTTGACAGCTTCCCCCTACCAGCCTGTTGCTGGTGCTGTTGACCCGGGATCTGCGCAACTGGCAGATCGAGTCTTTTGCGGTGCTTCAGAGTGATCCAAACCCCCTCATCCAGATACAGTATCAGTCCCGCTTAGGTTGTAAGATGTTGTAAGTAAATGACTAACCTGAGATAAGATAGTGTTGCCTAGGTTTAATATGGTTAAGTACAAGTAGTTGCAAGTTAGAAGCTTGGTTACCATCACATGTTTTCTTTAAGGCAGTTTCCACACCGCCCAAACCAGTTTTCCCCAAAGGCCTGTTATGGGGTTGTCTCTAAGTTTGACATGTAGTTGCCCGATGATCAATCTTTTTGAAATAGGAATTTCCTTTAAAATATACGAGCCCTGCAAAAGTGGCTGCCTGCACAAATTTACTCTCCGACCCGAATGCCATTCGATCAATCGCCAGGAGAGGGCCAAAGAGCTGCGCGCCATTTGAAGAAGCGGATGAGGAAAAAAACAAATCCTTTCATTTTTCGTTTTTCTTTGTTATGTTTTTTTTTTTTTTTTTTTAAGACAATTCCGGGGGCACCGTCCGAAATAAGGGAAACACTGTCTTAGCACATTCCGGAAAAAAAAGGGGGGAAACAAAACGTGCAACCTTTGAGAACTTTGAGCGGATATGGCCTGCTATGAAAGGTCATACCGTTTATGTGTTTGGAATTTTGTCTACAGATTCCGATTGCCAGCGAAGACGGCAGGACTTGAGGTCCAGAGTACGTAGTCAAATCCTACTTGCTGAGTGTCCTTTCCAAGTTTTCAGGGGCATTAGATTCCAAGTTTTCAGGGGCATCAGATGAACCGCGAGCACCTCATCTGCCGGAACCCGGGATTATTCCTTGGTTCATTCATTGCGGGAAACCCAAATTTTGAAGGGGATCCTGCAATTATCACTTTTGGGGAGCAACCTATCCCAAAGGTTTATTAATCCAGAGTCAAAATTGCTTAGGAGTCCAGCATTTCACCACGGCTCATAAACCCTAGGGTTAAACCCCACAGGCCCACAGAGCATCCAATGTGGATTGTTCCAAAGGCCAGCGGGTTCCTTCCTTGCGCTCGTTGGGTCTCCGCGTGACTGTTGACCCCGTTCTATAAATCGGGGGGTGGTCCCTTCCTAGAGTGCTGAACCCCCTTCGAGAAGGACTTCTGATTGCTCTTTCGACCTTGAGAGTTAGCGGAATGGTTCGTAACCCTGGTCATAAACCCACTATGTTGCATGTTCCCTACAACCTGGGTGATTAGCCGTTTAGCTCAGTCCCGGACCATCTAAGCCTTAAGCAGGGTTTGTTGCGGACGGCTTCCAGCAACCTTCTGGACGGCCTTGAAGTTTATCAGTGTTTTCTGGGAAGAACGGCTTCATTTTGTGACTACCGAGGTAGACTTCAATGTAGGGCTGGTTTTGCCCAAAAAGAGAAGCCTTGGGTTTAAGTCTACCTTAGTCAAAGAACCGAGGCCTTGTCCAGATATCTAACAACAAACTAAACAAATTGATCTCAAATGGCGAAGCTCCTCACCAGTGACGAAGTGGAGAAGTTTGACTAACCTCCAACCCACACTCCAACGCACACCATCAAAGTGTTGGAAAGAAGGGTCTGGGAAACCGATTCCATTTCTGTGCATGGCATGGAGCGAGCCTCCCCTTTCACAGAGTCTGGTTTTGGGAACGCGTTCCCTGCGGTGGTATCACGCAGTGGAAACATAAATGTTCAGCATAGTTTATAGCAAGCTCGCCTGAGGAGCAAACGACAACATCGCAACGAAGGATACTCTTATCAGGGTTGCAAATCAAATATGGGTGTTTGAGTCATTTTAGTCGCAGGCCTAGGGAAGCAACATTTTCTCCGGCAGCGAAACATGGGTAGGGTACTAGACCAGCTATGGTTTTCCTGGTAGACACACTGCCGGGAGAAGTCGAGGGACTCGGTTCAAAAGACAGCGCAACAAACTCTCTTGCAAAATCCTGGTAGATGTGATTGGTGTCTTCAAGATTGTGTTGAACTGAACCCAATTGTGGGGTGGATTCCACCCTCTAAATCCCTTTTTTGCTTGGTGGCTCTACATGATACGCTCTAAAAATGGTCAAACCAAAGAAAAGGTGCCCTTTCCCTACCAGGGACTCCACTGGTTGCAACTGGGTTACCACACTGTAGAGCGCTGACTTTTCGTGTGGCCCCAGATAGGCTCGGCCCGAAGAAGGCCCCGTTTGGCTAAAGCGCGTTCTTCTTTTTTTTTTCTGAATGGGGGGAAGTTGTATGGCCCTGAAGAGGAAGGGCATGAAAGCAGGATGAGGAGTTATGCCACAGATCTCTGTCCGCTTGCATCGTCCCATCGATTTGCTGGTCTGCCACTTTTTAAAGTCCATGGAAGGCCAGGAGTTCTGCGCGGGGGTACCTTGGCATGGTGGGCGCCGATCCGCACTGGCGCCATTCAACACAGGCAACACCACGTACCCACGCCGAAGAAAGAAGACTCAGCCATACACGTTGGGACAGAGGAATCCGTATTCGCGTGGCATAAACTGAATCCAGGATGAAGGAACCTGGCAACTGCATATGAACCAAAGCAACTCACAAACTTGGAAGTGCTAGCGGAATTTGTTGCACATGGAGCATGCCTGATGACGAGCCGGACTCCCAGACCCGATACTTCACCGATTACTTGGCTGAGTTTGGAGCAGACGAGTGCCCTAGTCGATGGCATGGCCAGACTTAGCTTGATTACTGCATTTGTCCTTTCGAGTCTGGGCCAATGCCCCGAACTTCCCGAAAGAGCCTTTTAAGTCCGGCAGGTGTTGGTCGCAGGCTCGTTTACTTCCTCCATTCCACAGGCCTAGCTTTTAAAGCAATTGACGAACCAAGGCTGCGGTGTCGAGTCTTGTGAAGCCGTCCAAGGCAAAGCCGCGGCGTTGCTGAGGGAGGCAGCCAAGGTGGGCTACAACGGGCAGGCGCGATTCGATTTGGGCGAAGAATGGAATTCAGACTGACTGAAAAGTCCAATTGCCATGTCGATTTGCTTTTTTGGGGTGACCTTAAGTAAGGCGGCTATGGGTTCTAAAAAATCTGAATTTTGAATGCCACAAAAGTGGTCAAGTATTCGAATCCCTACAGTGATATGGGAATGACCTGTATCACGAAAAGGGTGATTTTGTGCAACCAAGTGGCAAGTCTGCCAGGATTCCCGGCTTTGTCTTCTTGATTGGCTGCTTTTGGTTCTGAGATCCGTTTCCCAGGCCTTTACTTCCCTTTTGGCGGTTCTTCGATCCGGCAGCTGGGCCGGATCGAAGTGAGCTCTCTTTTGGTGTGGTGATGTGGGAAGTCGCGACCTTCTATTTTGTTTGCAACCGAACACATTGTGAGCTCACCTGGACCTGTGAGCAGAAACTAGCTAGCCTGTCGGGGGGGGCGTGATTCTTATGTTGGAAGCATGTACTTTGTTTGCTTCGAGCTGATTGAACGGTGGTTTTGCTTTCCTAACTCTTGTAGGCTTAAGGTATCATGTTTGCTACACTTTTGGCCTCCTTCGTTGGGTCAACCAAAGAGGGTAATTAGCACGGGCTTTGAGGCTGGCATGGTGTGTCCGAGCTCTCGCTCGCAGGGCCCAGGGTTGCCGCCTTTGCCCTCCAAGCGTGCGCCGCCGCCTCCGGGAGGCGTTGGTTGGTTGGTTGGTTGGTTGGTTGGGCAGTGTGGACGGCGTATTGGCCCGCTGCAAGCAATTGAGCAACCAGAACTTAGTAGGTGGTTTTACTGCCTTGTCTTGCGGAGGTTTTTGTAAGGTTTTTGTGGACCTTTGATAGAAGTAAAGGCTATGGTTTTTGGACGCTGCATAATTGAGTGTTTGTTTCCCCTCTCAGGCAAGCATGTCTAGATCAGCAAAAAAGGTAGCGCCACACTGCAGCCGCGGAAGGTTTCCGGAACGTGGATGATTTGCTTTTTCCAGACACTTACGCTTACTAGAATTGCTAGCAGATCGTGCATGCGAATTCCCTCGCGGACAGTGGACACAGATTTTCCTGATTTTGTCTAGTCCCTGAGGCCGAGCGCATTCCCTTGTCTCAGGTTCTCTGGCCCCCTCCCTTCTGTTCTCGTAAAGGTTGCCCAAAACCCTTTCGAAGTGTTCAAGTGCTCGTCCCAATTTTCAAGCTTGAAGTGTGGTTTACTGATTGCTGCATAGCCCACAAGTCTTAATTTTGCTCAAAGGGAGGCAAAAAGGAATGGGTATGGGTCAAAATTAAAGCAGCAGGTTTTGGTCCATGTTTCCACTTACCAGGGTTCGAACTTGGCGTTCCCTTTCTTGACCCACAGCCGGATTGATTTGTCACCAGACCTTCTGCAACAGCCGGATGACTCGGCCGATGTCACTGTGGCCCCTTGGGAGAGACCCGTTCTCACCGCGTAGGTGGGCCTGCCCACGGCGGGCCGTACCGGGCTGGACTCACTAGGCGGGAGCATCAGGAATTCCATTTAGTTAAGAATATGTTTTATTTTCCCCTGTTGGTTTTAAAGAGAATCTATCACTATAGAAAGTATTGTTTTTGCAGGGGACTTAAGCAAGTGGAGGTGGCAGAGTCGGATTTGTATCACTGGAGAGCTCCAAAATTGTGGGTTCCTCACGCCCCCCGAACCTGGGACCCGCCAAGTAAAATGGGACTCGGAACATGGCTCGTCTCAAGCCCTCAGCCCTCAGGGACGCCACGCCCGAGGAAAGATGTTGTGTTCTCGCCAACCAACTGAGGGGAATCAGTGCCAGGCGCCCTGCAAGCGCAAAGGACGCAGGATCAAAGGTTTCAGCTTTTTTTTGGGGAGGATATGGCTTGAGCGTCAGCAAGCCTTTGGTGGGGGGGCTGTAAATCCGGTTTTTATCTGTACTTCCCTCCCAGTCTGTGGTGGCTTGGCACTTTTGTGGAAAATACACATGCGTCATCTTATTTTAAAAACAAAGAAAGACACTTGGCCGAGGTAAGCGAGCGTAGCGCGAAAGGGTTTCTTCAGAACAGTTGTTCTGCCTTCATGAGCTGACTATGTGACTTCAACAGCATCGCCCTTGAATGTGGTTAATCCAGACCCTTCAAGCAAACGAGCAATCGCCATCAATGTGACTGTTGTTGGCGGTCCTTTGTGGAACCTTTGGTGAGGTGAGACCACATTGATATGAATGGCATAAAAAATGGTTTAAATATCACGGTTGTGGACAGGACACGACTGGGCAGGCGTTCAGTCTCCACGCATTCGACGCGGCAGTCACGCAGAGAACGTAGCCTAACGTAGCCGCAGGTTTGGACTTGCGGGCCTTCTTGCCCCTTTTGCGGAACCAAGACAGATGCGGACAGAGAAGAGACTCAGCAAATGGCTGTCAAAGGCTGCGCGGAAGGTGCTCCATCCGGGCAAAGCCCCAGTGTTTACGCAAGATGCTCCGGGGCTTGCAACCGTGTTTCAAGCCGCACCATGCCAAAGTCCACCAAAAAAGTTGCTCAGCTTTCCGACGCACAGTGATTTGTGGCTGTGTTCACCGGGCTACGATGCCTTGCTCTTTCAGACCCAAACATCTCGGGGCTGGGGGGTGCCTCAGTTGCCCGAAGCCGACCTCTTGACCTTCTGGTTCTCCAATTTTGATCCACTTTTAGTAAAGGGACAAGGAATTCGACGCTGGTCTTCGGCAACGGCGAGCGCCATAGCAGTGATTGTGCACCCGCTGCTGATGGTGTTTGCAAGCCTGTTCTTGGTGGCTCCCAGCCATCCCCTTAGCTTTTTAGCCTTTTAGGGTTTAGTGGTCGTTTCCATTTAACCCACTAAAAGTGATTCACTTTTAGGGGGGGGGTCTGAAAACGGGCAGAACCCCCAGTGTTTCCTGCCGGCGAATGGGGAAAGGTACACGTCTGCCTGGACGCCAGGCTGATGCCTCGGTTTTTGGTGTCACTCCAGTGGGATGCCAGCTGTCTTGAAGCCCGCGGGCTTTCTGGCGGCAATGAAGGCAGCAACTGTGCGGGTGTGCGAAAATCACCGGAACCCCCCCCGCCCGAAAACGAACAACCGATTTTGTTGTGTGACTTCCCAGCACGGCCACTCTCAAGCCACAGAAACAGAGCGAATACTAGTTGGAGTTCTCTATATTTTGTCGGGGTACCTTTGTTGTTCAGCTACGATTTTTGGCCAAGTAAAGGACAACTTGTCGCCCCCTTCTCACGCTCTGAGTTCCCGCACCTGCCGTTTGGCACACGCGGAGTTTGGTGGAAAACGAAACAATTTCAGCCAACTTTTTGGGCCCAGCCCACGGCAGCCAGGGCCGTTCGTGCGGCGCCGACTGGTTCGCTTTTTGGGGCGTAGGCGCTCGAGCTCCACCTCGGCGCTGCGAAAAAGCAAAGGCGGGGTGGGAGGTTGGGGGGGACGTAGTTTTGGTAGCTCCCCCAGTAGTGTGGTAATTTGCCGTTTCTTTTTTGGTTGGGAGGGTTCCCCTACTAAAATAGACTGCAGAAAAAAGTTGGTACCATTATTTAACCTCTCTACTGGAGGACCTAGGTTGGTACTTGGGAGGTGATTTTGCGGGTCACGGGGTGTGTTGTTTTAAGGAGATGGGTGGATGGATGGGTGGGTGGATGGTGGATGGATGGGTGGGTGGATGGGTTTTGAGAGCTTGGGGTTGTCTTGAGGGGATCCGCAGATCCGCAAGGTGTATTGGTTTCCTTTTGCCTTCCGCGTAAGCTTTACCAACAAGGGGGTTCCACTGAACAAAAGGCACCCATTATTGGTACGCTCCAATTCATTTCGGAGTTTGTATGATGGTCACAGACAGGGAGTTTGTTGGGGGTCGCTATCGTTGCTTCTCTTGCTTTGCAGGGGCACCTAACCAGCGTAGTAGGTGGGGGGGGGGTTTTGGATTTAACAACCAAGCAAAACCGAAGGAGACACGCTTGCGAGGCCGTGGTCACTGAGGGGGTTGCTAGAAATGGTCATGGACGGGACAGGGAGATTTGTTGGGTCTCCAAAATTGTGAATCAGATTTTGGGGTCGGGAGATGATCAGGGTAAATTCGTAGTTTAGGGCACAAATGGACGCCAATGTCTTTAGATATGTTTCCAGATGCCGGATTATATGGATGCCGGATTATGTGCGAGGGAAGACTAAATAGACTATGTGGACATGTGTTAGATCAACCATGTTTAAACCACGATGGTCAAACAACCTCCCGTTGGTTTGTCTTCCAACGGACCCTGGGTTCTACCAACGCCTCATTTGGAGAACCCGCGTAAAAGCTAGGGTTCTACACTATTCAAAAGTCACGACCACGTGCCGTCGAAACCAACTGCACTCTGTACTAGCAATAACCATTCACCTATCTCTGCGGGACCTTGGTTCTGGCTGGAGCCGCTTGATTTGTCCCCTGGACTCGCAGTTGGGTTTTTGGCTGGAGGATCCCCGGCAAGCCGCGAGATCGACTAAGCCCCCGGTTTTGGATAGGAGCAGATTCATTGGCCAACCCGCCTTCAGAAAAACGGTCATCTCCGAACCTTGCGACGTTTTGCTGTTTTGGAAGACCGGCAAACAGGCAGCTTCAAAGCAAAACGTTGGCCCAACTGGACCGGGTTGGGTTATTCCACCTTATTTCCTGCAGGGGCAGCTCAGTTGGCCCTCGGGCAGGGCTCCCTGCCTTTCTTTTTCCTGTCCGCGACATCACATGTTTCGCCTATCCGAGTTTCCTCTTGGGATGTCTGAAAAAACAATATATGGGGAAGCTTCTTGTGGAGGGCTCAAGCCGATCTCTCCATGGCTCCGTATCAGGTCGCCTCTCCCCGCTGGTTCGGTCCGCCCGTACTGACGAGATGGCTTCCACCGAGCCGCGCCCCGGAGCAGTTCGACTCGCTCCTTCGCGTCGTTCGCGCGGCGGCGTTTTTGGCGGCGCGTGGGTCTGGCTGAAAGGGAAGACAAAGGGACTTATTCGTCATGTACGGATCGTTAGGCTCCTTGTTACGTGTCTTCCTTCTGGTTTATAAAGCTACTAATTATTTTTGGGAGCCACCCTATTTTAACACATGGGGTTGATCAAAAGGTCCGTCATACCAGTGGTAAGACTACTAAACAGATTTGACCTTTCAACCACACGGGAAGAGTTACCCATGGTCGTTTGGGGGCCAGGCATATTGTTTAATTCCCATTAACCGGGATCTATAGAAGGGGTGCCTTTTTGTTGGAGTTGGTACCCCATGCTTTTTCGCTATTTCTCGTTTTAACCGGAAGCCAAGGAGTCCCGACCATGTTCGGGGCCTTTTGACTGTTGGCACCACCTCTTTAGCTATGTCAACATCTAAGACTTGTTCCACTGTAGTTGATTTGTCACGCCTGAAACGAGGTGTAGAAGGACGACTTTTGCGGGATTGTTGGAAACAGGATACCCGTTGAGTTCGACGGACATGTTTTTTGTTGTCAAAAAGGGGTCAACACTTAAACCAGATCTTTTTTCGAAGCATGTAGGTGGAACCTATGGATGCATGGTGCGCAAAAGGATTAGAAGGCATCTGGAGGTTCTTTTCGGTCCAGATTTCGGGAATCCCTTCGATAGCTCAGAGGGTGGGCTTGCATCCCCTTTGCTTCCTATTAACACACATACATACATGCATACATGCATGCATGCATACATACATACATACATGCATACATACATGCATGCATGCATGCATGCATGCATACATACATGCATGCATACATACATACATGCATACATACATACATACATGCATGCATGCATACATACATACTTACATGCATACATACATACATACATGCATACATGCATACATGCATGCATGCATACATGCGTGCATGCGTGCATGCATACATGCATACATGTATACATACAAACAAGCAAACAAACATATAAATATATATATATATATATATACATACTGACTTCACCTTCGATTCGGCGGGCGGCTGAGGAGCAGAGCGATGTGTCAGGCCTCCTCAAAGGTCTTGGAACTGGCCCGAAGGGCTGAGGAGGCGAGTCGGACATCGGAAGGCCCCTTTTCTGAGGGGAAGGAACCCCCTGTGTGTGGGGTCCCCCCAAAAGTTTGCCCCTAGAAAGGGGGGGTATTTTTCCGGGGTTTTTGTGGCTATACGTTTAATTTGGGGAGAGTATGGCAAGAGAGAACCACTTCAAAAGTGGTTGACATGAATGTTCCTTCGAAGTGATGTCCACCAAACGGTCCCTTGTTGAAATTCACACCCATATTTCTCTCAGGGGTTTTATCGTAAGGGCCAAAGTGAGTTTCCTGTGGAGGGTTCCCCTGTTCCCCATGTGCAAAACCCTGTATGCATTTCGCCTTCATAAACTTCGGTCCTGGTTTTTTTCTGTACAAATGGGCCCATTCCGCCCATTCCGGCCTTCCACCCTTTGGCTCCAACCCGGTCAAAATGGAACCCGTCAGGGACAACATTTGGTATTTCCGTATCCTTTGGGGTGAGCTTTGCAAATGGTAAACGGTGGGAGTTCAGAAAGGTTTTGCGCTTGCAGTGCATCATGTGAATTATCATTGGTTTGAGACTCCGAGTGGCAAGCCACTATAGTACAAGTAGCTTTAGTAGAAACCAGTTGTATAATCCATGCTTAGCTCCAATCGTCAAGTATGTTCGGCTCCATGTCTTGGAGTAATGAGGTCACAGACCACTTCCTACCAGGCGCATGTTCCAAGTGCAAACACCCCGTTACCGCAAACCCGGGTATTAGGGCATTGCCTGGAAGCAAACATGACTGGGACTCTTCTGTTCGCTGAGTCATGGTAGGGAAATGCGGGATTGGGTCAAGGGATCTATTGTTTTATGTGTGTCAAAATGAGGTTTCGACCGCCTGAAAATTGATTTTTCCCTGTTAGTTTCCCTTTAAACTGACCTGAAAGCGACAATATTCCCCTCAGCACAAAACATACTATTGCGCCGGTGATTGGGAGCTGCACTAGCGTATTCGTGGTTCTGGATCCCATGAGGATCGTTGCTAGTTGGGGAATTGCAGGCTGTTGTGTGAACTTGTGTGTGTTGCGCCAAGCAGTGTCATGATTTGCTTGTTGATATGCTGCCATCGTGCCACGTTTGTCTCGCTGCGCCTGTTCTGTGGGGATCACCCGGTAAAATGAGGTGATGTAGGTTCTTCGGGCTCCAACTACCATTTCAGGTGCTGGACGTATGTAAAACTTTTCAGCTTCCCTTTGTTTTATGTGTTCACGCAAAACTGGAAGCCCCCATTTTGCCAAAACATGGTTTGTTGACGTCTTAGTCTGGGAGTTTCTGAAAATGATGGACATCTTTTGGTGTATTGAAAGGGAAGCCACAAGGGGACCCCAAGCATCGGGGACTGTGAAGCGCGATTTTGGGTTGAAAGCTTCCGAGTCATAACCCGAGCGGCTTCCGCAGGTGCTGAAGGTGGGCGAATGGTCGGTGCGAAAGCTGCCGGACAATCCGGAGATCACCTTCGCCGGGGTCCCCGGAGCCAAAAAGCGGCGTCGATCCTTGGATCGACCGATCTCGGAGCCCGGATGTTGGGGCTAAGGTATGTGTGAACGACGTATCATTTGCAATGTTCACTGTCAAAAGTGGGGGCTCGGGGGAGGAGTTCGACACCTGGAATTCTGGTCGTCCCTGGGAAGATTGGGCGAGATGGAAGTGGGGGACCCCCCGCCCGCCTCCCCCTGGTAGGGGGCTCATGTGGCCATGGGTCAAAATCCAAATCGTACCCCCAGTGAACATCCGATTCAATCCCTACTAAAATAGGTTCTAAAATGGGTGAACTCACCTACCAACCAAAATAGTACCAAACCGGTTTTGACCCACAGCCATGTATTCAATTTGCCTTCAGGAAACCAAAAGAAAATGAGTGAGCTTGTACGTTCCGCGGACCTTCTGTTTAACACCCAGTCGCGAAGCCGCGAGTTGGGTTTGTGTCAGTTGGATTTTGGTTTTGTGTGGAGGGAGCTACCCGCCTTTTTTTTGGCGGCCCCTAAACCCTAAACCAACCCCAAACCCTAAACCCACCGTGGCAAAGTGTTGGCTGACTAGCTGTTTAGGCAAGCTTTCAAATGTTGTTGTTTAGTGGTAGCTGGAACCAGAACCCAACCCAATTTTACAACCCCCAACAAAAAGCTTTAAATATTGTACCATGGCAAACATCGTTTGTTCGACATATGCCAGAACATGAAACGGGCTTTCATTTTTTGTCTGGATCAGTGTTTGTTTGCGTACTTTACGGCGAGCATGCAGGGTGTTTAGTAAAACGACTATGGTGCCGTGCTTGGTTATTCCTTTGTTCAGGTGTTGCAAGTGTTCCGCATTCTCACTTCCCGAGTTCCTGGACTTGATTTTTTTTTTTGGGAAGACCAATTTGGTGGTAAACAAGCAATTTTGCCTCTTTTGTTTCTGGACCATCAACTCAGGAAGTGAGTGTTTCCATTCAGGTCTATCTCAACGAGGCCGAAGGCCGTGTGGAGGCGTCCGGAGGGGATTGAATTCTGTGCAGCCTTTCTTTTTTTGGTTTATCCATGTTTGCTAGCTGGGGATGCCCGCCCTTTTCGAGTATGACTCAAGTCGCGGTCATCTGTGCACTGAGGAAGTAGATTGTAACTGTTGAACCTAACAATAGACAGCAGGGGATACTTGTGTATGATCACGCTAAGTTACTCACCCGAGTCACTTGTGTTGTGACCAACCCGACCCCATGTCTGGATGGTGCCCCCCCCCCATCCCCTGCCTTACGTCCATGGAAATGCAAAAGGGTGCAGGCCTGAGACACCTTCTTTAGGCTGCTCCTCTTCCAGTCAATCCACACTTGCTTTTCCGTCAGTTGGAGATGTGACCTTCCCATAAATCTGCATCTTGTCCGGCGCTGATGCAACCAGGGGTGCAGAGCTGTTCTCGCAACGGAAACTGACAGGAGGGTTTTGGAAGGCTACAGGCTACCGCCCTTCGTGATCGTTGAGGGCAAGATGGCGATCCTGAACACCACAATCTTCTCCCTGACAAGTTGCCAAAATACATCCCTGACTCATTTATGAGGAGTTCCCTTTTACAGGGATCTTTGGTTTTCTTGTCAAGCCTGGAAACTGAAAATGAGAGAACTCGCAGGGAAACATGTTTGCTCTTTTGGGCTTTCTTATTTGTTCCTTGTAAAGAAAGCATAACATCAAGAGGTTTACTTTTGGCAGGGGGTCAGGTCTGGCCAAGAACATACTTTGTTAGTTAAGCCAGCCATGGGACACTCGCATGGACAAGGGGTAACTCGATGTCCGTTCCAGAAGTCCGTGCCCCAAAGACCCAACAGCTTCGACAAGAAGAACGCTTGAATAGAACGGAAACGGAATCGAAAGTAAGCCCCTGTGCAAACCCCCAGTTGACCCGTTGTATTGCTCACCATTGAGCCAGACAAAGAGTAAGAAACTGATTGCCCAACAATATTCTATCGTTTTACAGCCATAGCTAGGTTTGCTTACCACAAAGCTCAAACCAAACCATTCCAGCACCCTCCAACTACTGTTTCATTTTAGTTTCGTACATACCGTCTATTTAGCAGTAGTTCCTAGAATAAGATAAAAGACAGTGGATCCCCGATCTACGCTTTGTTTCACGTTCTTTCCAAAACAGTATATCCCTACCCCTTCCCAAGCCCACAGGGTGACACGCAAGTGACACGCAGTGACACGCAGGCGTCCCGGGGTGACACGCAGGCAACACGGGGTGACACGCAGGCGACACGGGGTGACTCTCGGGTGACAGACATCGGGGCGACACGGGGGCGCCACGGGGACGACACGGGGTGACACGGGGTGACACGCAGGCGACACGGGGGGCGACACGGGGGCGACACGGGGGCGACACTGGGTGACACGCAAGTGACACACAGGTGACACGCAGGTGACAGGTGACACGCAGGTGACACGCTGTGAGGCTCTTGCTGCGCTTGCTGCCACCCCTAGCAGTAGTTAGACTATGGGCTTTGCGCAAATCAACAAATCAACAGTAGTTTTTCTAGCTATAGTCTTTTTTGGAGAATTCTATGTGCTGCCCATTGTTGCCCCCAGCTGGGCAGTAGTTGGAGGGTGCTGGTTTAAGTACCGGCAAGTTTGTTTCCCTGTTGACAGAGATGGACCGCCGGAGCAGTGCCCAAAACCCCGCAAAGGACCAGCTTAGTAGGTGGTTCTACCTGGCTTCACAACAGTCGCCAAATTGAACCATCCTAAACATCTTGGCTGAACCAGCAGTTAAAGCGTCACTGTAAACCATCTTACCAGCCTTTCTCCGGGGAACCTGGAAGGTCAATTTCGTCCTGGAGGGGCCTTGTGGCAGCTACCATAGGAAGGGTAAGAAACCCTCTGAAGGTTTTGAATCGGTGTGACCGACTGGCGGAGACGGAAACCGGAACCTGTGGCAGGTGGAGGCGCCGAGGGAAGTGATGGATGAGCTGCTGGAGGGAGGCGGCCAAGATTCGGATTGAACCAGAGTTTGGTTCCCTTTTAGAGGGAAAGCCAAAAAAGAGAAGCCAAAAACGGAAGCCAACATGGCAAACCCACGGAAGGTTTTTATATAGAGCAATAGTGGTTGAAATTCGATTGAACAAGAGGTTGGCCCAAAGTTGCTGGGAGGTCAAGGAAGGCTTCTGAAGGTTCTCCAAAATGACATCCGTTAAGACGCTCTTTGATTCGACTCTCGGAAAGACAGGGGAGGTTCGGCAGAAGGTTTGGGTCACTGGGGGCCGTTGCGAACCTCCAAGAGATGAGTAGACCTCAACAAAATGAGTCACTGGCGCAAACTGAGACCTCAAGACATAAGAACTAAAAAAGTATTGGAGCAAACGAGTGTGTTCAAATTCGTTGGGTGCATAATGAGCATAGGCGAGTTATCCCGATGCAACCTTACAAGGGGGTTGCACCCTGGGCCACACGATAGTTGCTCATGGGAATCTCTCATTTCGACCGACAAAGTAGAGATTCTCCAGATGTGTTTTGTCATCAAGAACGGCGAGGCGACCGCAACGCAGCGGTGTTTTCCCACCATCCCGGCACTTACAGGGGCCATGGCGGTTGGTAGCCGCCTAACTGGACCAAAGTGGAGGTTGGCCTTTGCTGGCTTGAGTTAGCTCCGTCCCACTGGCTCCGTGGCTTCTGTAAGGCCGACTCTGAGGTTCTTAGCACAGAGTGGCCCCCTTCCAGCGCCCTCTTGTCCAGGTTTGATGTTGAACGGACGGATTACAGCACACAAGGATATATATATATACATATACGTATGTGTACCATCTTATTTACCATGTGTGTACAACCCCCGGACGACAATGGGTGGTGGGCATTGTTCACTGATGATGTCATATTAAATACTGTACACCGATAGACTGATAGTTCTTAAAGCAAACAAATCATGAACAGTGTAAGCAGATTAATAAGTAGATAGGTAAACTATAAAGTCAAAGTAGAAACAAATACAAGTGAATACTTCGATATACGTGAATCAATAATCAGGAGGAACACAAAAGGAATAGCAATCCGTGGGCATTGGTCGCTGCTGAATATTTCATGACACATATATATATATATATACATATTAATATATATGTATATATATATATATATATATTATGTACACATAACTATACATACGTATTGAAGTATAGTAGGTAACCAAGGGAAACCATTATGTAACATTGAAAAAGATCCCTGGTTACCTATACTATAGTGATAACTGGAAGCACTTGAAAGCTTTAAGTTGCGAGTCGTTTGTCCAAGCTGTTTGCGCCTGGGCTTTTGCGGCCAGGGCAAGAGGACAGCCCGAAGCAGGAGGAGTGGTTCCACCAACGGGGCCAAGAGCACGGAAAAACAGCGACCCATATGAGCCACAATCAAAACCCGGGTAGTTGAAGGTTAGTAAGGTCCCAGCCAGAAATAGTTGCGGCCGCCTTCTTAATTCTATCCATGGTTCTGGGTAGACCATTTTGCTACCGGGTTTTGATTGTGACTCATATGTGTGTTTTTTCCTTTCGAGGTGCATTTACAAAACCGAGTGGAAATTTTTGGGCACCGTTCCGAAAACCGAGTCTGGGACGACTCCGGGAGTTCCATTCATAGGCATGTGTCCTGTTGTGGGGAAGACTTAATCATAGATTCCCAGTATACTTAAGCTTGTATTGATGTAGTTTTGGCTGCATTTGCTTTACTGTTGGTACAGACTTGGGTTTCCACCCTTTAAACGTAAACAATCGGCTGAAGCGTGGCAGCCACGGGATGTTGAAATTGCGTGGCTACTGCTTTGATCAGGGCATGTCACTCCCCTTTTTGACAAAGAACTTGCCATTCAAGACCCCGAAGTTCAAACGAGATGAAAGAGGATAGTTCTCTACTGGGTTACTTGCTTTGTGTGACTCTTTGGCCAAAAGCAAGCTTCCCTGTTTGCAACGTGGGCTTCCCAAAGCGTCGGCTTCGCTGGCCCCCCAAAAGGGGCCACGTTGAGGACCCGGAGGAGCGCCCGCTCTTCCGGCGGATCCTCCTCGCCAAGGCGGAGGCGGATCCTCTTTGCACCAAGGGGCTAGGGCAATGTTCGGATTCCTCCGGAAACTGGCAACTCGGAATCGGAAATCATAGGAAATCATAGGAAACTGGCAAATGGAAATCATAGGAAATTCGGAGTTGCTCAACTGGCAAAAATAGGTTTCACGTTTTTGGTTCGACTGGCAGGAAATCGGTCTGGAGATTCGAAATTCCGGGTTGCCCAAGACGAGCTTGGATGCTTCAGTTTGCTGCCTATCGAACTAGTGGTGAGTTCAATACTGACTCAGAGCCAAAGCAAGCGGACATGGTTCTGGCAGGTATTGGTCTTTTTTTGGCCCCTAGTCGTTTCTCTTAGTCGCTAGTCGTGGCCCTCAAAGGTGATCGCCTTTTTTTTTTCTGAGCCCGATGAGCTCCTGCACCTGATGCCTTTGAGTCCCAGCACAAAATGGTGATGATGTGCTCTAGAATGGTCGATGGGCATAACTTTATATTGAAGAAGAGGATGATGACGACGATAATTGTGGATATAATAATAGAAAATAATGATGATCGTGACGATGACGATGGCGATGATACTTATGATTATTGTTATTGCTCCAATATCTGGCATCTTCTTTGATACTGTCTGATTTCAAAGGTGCACAACATATGCAACTGAATCTAGACATAGTTTAGGCTGTGGTTGCAACAACTCGGGTTCGTATCATGGTAGCAAAGGCTTACTTCGTTGATATGCTTTTGTTGCCGGTTCGGCGTTCCTTCCTTCACTCTTTTGAAGTCGAATCCTTCGCCTGGCCAAGTTTGAAGTAGGGTCCCGAAAGCGGCCCGCCCCAAGTTGGACCTTCTTCTGGCTGATGTGGCATGGAAAAAGGGACAATCAATTTGACCTGGGCTTGATTTCAGGAGGCAGAGCATATTGCAACATGAGGAAAAACAACACAAAATCATCTACACACGTGCGCTCGCTTGCTTCTTGAGGTGCCTCTCCGAATGGCGAGGGACATCCTGGAGGCCATCCGAGAAGACGTGAACATCTTCGAGCAGGCGGGGTGTCCGCGAGTCGCGACTCGTCTTCGGTGCGGCGAAAGGCGCAAATGGAAAGTGGGAGCATCGCTTTTTTGTGTTTTTCCCTTTTTTCCCGAGGATTTTCGTGCCAACCAAAAGGCCCTGCCAGACCTGGACAACCACAGACCAACCAAGAGTCCATTCATGTTTCACCGCCTTGCCAAGGCAACATGTTGCAGAGAGCGATGTTTTGGGGCGATATTGGTATGTGTCGAAATTGGGGGGGGGATCCCAAACCGTGAACTTGGGCTTACTTTTGGGAAACCTTGAACAAAGTAAGAAAATGTACCCCATACTAGCGCCCTCAAGGGCTATCACATGTTTTGTTAAGTGACCCTATGGGGGCCATTTTGCGGGCGCCCTTCAGCAGATGCTCATTGCTTGTTTTGGTTGTTAGACCTGCTTTTTGAAGATTCGATGGAAGCCTTACCCACACGACCGAACGGAAGCCACCCTTTGGGGAGTGTTCAGGTAAACAATGTAAGACCCCCTGCCAAATATCCCATACGCGTTCAGTTCCCCAAAGGGAACCAGGTGATGGGTGATGGATTCTTTTTTCTCCAGGCGCCACGCAGTGTGGTCAGTAGGCGAAAATCTACACAACCCAAAATTCACTGATAAAAAAAATAAAATCCTGACAATGCCGAGTTTCCCCAGTAATTTGAAGGGGGACCCCTACTTAGTGAAAGGGGTCTGGAGGTTCGCAACGAATTTGAGGCTGAATAGTGGACATAGGCTCGACCCTCAATCACCCTTCGTCTTTGGGGTGCCGCTCTTGGCACAGAACCAAAATTAAAATGTGTTTGTTGTTCCATAAAGAGTGTTCGCAAAAACAAGGCGTAGTTCGAGACTCCGAGGAGGAAACTGATCTTCCAGGTACCTTCCCACAGGCGCCATGTTAGTGGGAGGAGGCTAATCTTTTATTTGTAGGTCCTTTGGTTCTTTAGGCAGGTCAAAACAGGTCGGATTTTTTGAAGGAAGGTCTGGTAGTTGAGCACACATCGGAATCTTGCCAAAGGCCCCGATCGTCATTCAGCTGCGGATGTCCTAAGCAAGCCTTGTACTGACTGGGTTGTTCAGAATGAGTCCTTAATCCTCATGGTGAATGGTAGCAGTTTTTATGGGATACCACATGATGCCACTATACATGACAGGAAATCGGTATCTCCCCGATTTTGAACAACCCAGAAGGCACAACAATCGGGCCGCGAGGGCGTGCCCACCGCGGTGTGTGTGTTTCTTTGTCGTCGGCTGGTGAACTGTTACGATTCACCCCGTTCTACAACAGTCTTTTAATTTCCGCCACTTTTTGTCCCGGCTAAATATACCCTTCCCATGAATGGGGTGTTTCCTCCAACAGTCTTGAATCTTCACTAAAAGGGGACACCCTCTATTCATCAACCAGGGGTTGATTAATCCGGGGTTGCACAATAGTTTTGACATTGTGTTGCTTTCTTGGAGTCCCACTACCCAGCTTTCAACCATGATGGGAAAAGGCTTTGCCACACGACTTTTTGCTTGACAGTTTCCGTTCGAATGAGATGGAGGCCACAATGAGCAGCTTTTGAACAACTGTCCATGCTCATGCTCGAGAAATCGGGGGGAGTGGTTTAGGTTGCCACTTTCTGTGATCCCTGGGCAGATCCCCAGAAGCGACGAAGTCGTTCCCATGTCCGTCTACCCCACTCGCATTAAGCAAGCAAATCACAGGCCACGAGAAACCGCAGGGTTTCACCTGTTCTCTTTCAACTGGGTTCTCAATTGCCCATAATTGTCACTTTTCTCAAAAGCAAACCACAACTACATGTACCCTTCCTCCAGTCAACATGGCAACTGACAGGGGGTCCCTTCAAAAGGAAATTTATCTTTTAGGTACCTCCCCACAGATGTCATTAGTTGGAAGAAGGGTAATCCTTTTTTGCAGACTCCAAAATAAGCAGCCAGGGATTATGTCGGACACCGACTGTCGGAAATCGATTCTCAACTGGCCGCAGGTGCAGCAGCGCTTCTCCGATACGTGGGGGGAGCCCGACAAATGATTCAGTCACGGTTCAAATGGCTGTGGGTCAAAACCAAATGGAGGGGTACTTTTCGTTCTTTGTTTTTTTCACTGTTGGCTTCTTGGCTTCTTGGCTTTTCGGCTTCTTGGCTTCTTGGCTTTTTGGCTTCTTGGCTTTTCGGCTCCTTGTTGGTTACAGTAATGCGGCTTTTGGTGGCTTTTTGGCTTTGGCTTTTCGCATCCTTTGCATTCCCAGTTCCTCTTCGGCAGGTGGCCTTTTGGCTTCCGCTGGTTTATCGGCGGCTTTTGGCGGCTTTGGCTTTTCGCATCCTCTGCTCTCCCAGTTCCTCTTCGGGCTTTTTGGCTGTTGCACCTTTTCATTGGGTTTTGGATTTGGCTTCCCGCCGCATCATCAGCATCACCAGTTCCTCCCTGTTTGACATCACTTTTTCGAACATCACGGGGCTTCCACCCCCACGCAACCCATCCGCTATTTTTTAGATTGTTTGCAGAGTAATTGCACCCCTATTTAGCCCTATTTGTCAATTGCTACCCACGATTTGATGGTGATGCTAGGGATGTTGGTTGGACATGCGGGGGATGTTGAAAACGATGCTGGGGATGTTGACGGGCTAGAGTAAAATGCGTCAATTTCGCAAGAAAATGCTGAAAAATACGACCCGGACGAAAAACGGGGGAAAAAATGAATCCGAAAACAAAATCCCAAAATAAATCCGCACCCAAACCAAATACACTTTTGGGGGTAGGTGCACCACCCATTTTAGTCTATTTTAGTGGGGATTGGGATGTTCACTGAGGGTACAGGCTTTTGACCCATGGTTCAAATTGCCGTCGGCCATTGTTAAGTCACTCGAGGGAAACCAAAAGGGGATGGATATTGTGTAGCTGTTTGCAGATCCCACTTCATGAGCCTCGCAGAGAGAAGGGGGACACAAAACAGGCGAATCCGCCCCATATAGTTTCTCTAGGGGATTCCTGGTTTCCCATTTGCGAACGTTTGTAATTTGTTCGGATTCTAGTTTCCTTGTTGAAACACGATGGAAAACGGGTAACCAAGAAGTTCCCCCCAATTGCCCCCTCTAAGAGGGCTCTGCCTCAGAATCGCCCCAGGGTCCACACGGAACTTATCGGGTTCCTACGCCTCCGTTACCCCCCCTCTCCTCAGCGAAATATATGGTTGATTGGTACTTGCTGTGTTTTCCAAATCCGTGCTGTTGCTTTTCTGTTGTACTCATTCTACGGGGCAGAGTCCCGCATTGGTGTCCACTGCCTTTGCAATATTTAGGGCATCCACCGTACTTCTACCTTGCTACCCATTCCGCCGGCAATATGCCCACCAGGGGTTTGGGCAACGAAAAAACAGTTTGGTTCGGACAAAAATCGGGCTCGGGTCCTACACAGCTCCTGCCACCCGAAACACCTCAAAGTCTTTGTCAAGGGGTGTGTTTTTGGAGGTGGTGTGTTTGGGTGTTTGGCGGGGTGCCCCACAGAGGGGTGTCACCGTGGGTTGGCGATTTGTCACAAAGTGGGCATACACTTTTTGGAGCCACAGCCCCACTACGTAGTCCAAAAGGGTTTACAACCAGGTTTTGCAGTAGTGCCCTTTTACCCTTTTTTTGGGGTGGGTTCCCCCACTAAAATAGACTACAGAAAACAGGGTGCCCTTATTCTAACCTCTCTATGTACCAAGAAGGCACTGCCACTATGGCCCGGCCACCGTGTACATTTGATGGTGCGCTTACTGATGTTTAGGAGCTTGAGTTCGGGCATTTGCACCAGAACCGCACTGATGCACTGTGCGTGGCCGCAGATCAGCTAGTGACCACTTGGAGAAGGTGACTACCAGAGTTGCTGCATTGCTGCCGACTGGGAATGGGTGGATCACGCCTGCGGACGGTTTGTCAACATTCACCACCGGTTGCCGCCAATTGCCAAGAGTCAGAATATTGTCCGTGGCTCAGGTTTGTTTCCCTTGCACGGGGGCGTTGGGCTCAATAATTTTGTCTATGTTCAGGTATTATGCTCACCCATATATTTGACGGCGCCGAACATGCTCCCCTTCAACAGTGATCGATCCCCACTAAAAGGGGACACCCCCCCCAATAAACAACCAGGGGTGTATTAATCCGGGGTTAACATTATCCGCTTTCTCGCCCTCAGCGGCAAGAATCTCACCCAACACATCTTTTAGCCCAGGCATGGCAGCGTATCTCCCCCGTTGGACGAAATCGTGGGCTTTCTTATTCGCACAACAGACCGTGGAAAGTGAAGATCGCCTTCGGAGACCTTGGCTAAACATGGGAATGGAAAGGGGATAAGCAAAAGGTGAAGGGTTAAACTTGCGGAACCTTGGCTACAAGCAGACCGAGTAAAGAGCAAGTAAACAGGAATAATCAGTGCTGCTCAGAATAACAAACATAAGAAGGGTCAAAAGGCTGAAAAGCGCTCAAACATGTCACAAACATGCCAAACATGCCAAACTGGTCAAAAGGGTCAACCATGGGTCAAAAGGGTCAGGAATTTCTTGCATTCAGGCCAGACGAGCCCCTGCTGGGGCTGGAGGACGACCTGGGCGAGGAGCACTTGCCACCACTCCCACGTTAAGCTTTTGGCGCATTTTGCTTGGATGTTAGGACTTTAACGTTTTGCCAACTAGTGGGTTTTCCATTGAACCACTAAAAGATAAACTTTTAGCAGGGGAGCAGAAAGCAACCGAGTAAATGGGTGTCTCTTTCTGGAGCCCGCAAAATGGCGGAGTTGTTCCTGTGGCTTCCTTTTAAAACCACCCCAAACAATGTACCCTCCAAAAAAAGAGCACCCTTCGGAAGACTAAGACTTTCCTCTTGTCGTTTCGTGTTGGGCGCAGGTCGAACATCTTGCCATCCGCTGTCTCCGGTGCAGACCCCGTCCCCTCCCATGGAGACTACAAGGCCCAGAAACATCTTTTTGGAGACCAAACTGGGTCTGTCTCTTTTTGGTGGTACCAGTTTTTGGGGAACCCATTCCACCCAGTGTTGCAAAATGGCCCTGAGTCAGCAAAGCTATTTCTTTTGACCTCGTGGCTGGTTCTTACCTGTTGAGCTGGCAAAGACAACTGGTTCCTTCAAACTCTTAGTCCAAGCCTTCAAAGTTCAAAAAGCCAGCACCTTTGTGTTTCTTTATACAAAAAGCACATACACCCATACACCCAGACACCACATTTCGCAAAACCCCACCCACGCGGCGGTTGCGTCGGCGGCTTCCGGTTGCGTCGCCGCAGGAGTTGGAGGCGGTGGCGCAGGCCATGCAGCCCGGGGAGGTCTCGGATGTCCTGGGCACCGAGGCGCGGTGTGAGGAGTCTCGCGAGGAGTTGTCAACTTCTCAACTTTGTTCAATGATGGCGACTTGGATGAAATTAGGTGTTTGCTTCGTTATATTGAATGGTATAATTAGTATGCTTATGTATGTTTGTTTTGTAACCCGATTTGTAATTGTAGTGTATAGTATAGTATGTTTTGTTTTGTGTTGCATGCCAATTCAAAATGCTCTTAGTTGTCATATATTTGAATATGGCTTATAGTAAGCCATTTGTGCTTGTTGTTTTTATTGTTTGTCTTTAAACCAAATCAAGTAAGACATTATTACGAAGAGTTATTGGTGATTTGTTTGTTGTGGCTTCCGTGGGCTTCCATGACATCCCTGACCCTTAATCTTAACAACTCACTCCCTGAGTTCCGTTTCGGACTTTGGGGTCACTTTTTAGGTCTGGACCATTGTAGTGAGATAAGCAAACATTTTAGTGAGATGAGCCATTTTGTTTGAGACTTGTTGGGTAAATGAACACTTTGGACTTGTTGTGGCTAATCCGCTCGATCGGAAGTGAGATAGGCCAATCAGGCCATGACCCTGAATTTGGTTTGTTTGGTGTGCAGGGGAAGTGGATTCGGGAACGATCAATAGCCAACGTTTGACCTTCGCAAAGGAGTTGAAAAGGGTGTGTGTGAGTGTGTGGTTTTCCGCACAGCCGATTTAACACCCAGACTTTGAGCGTCTCTGGCTCTGAAAGTGGCTGCCTACCTACCTGGAGGATCCTTGCAGGAAATCTGGCTTTGTTCTTTTTCTGTTGCCACTTTTTCCCAAAAGCATCTCTGATGCGATGGGTTCTCGTTTAGTCGAAGTCTTCCGCGATGGGAGCGTTCACTGGGTGCGGACGGCTCCGGGAGTTGGTTTACGAGGGTTGCCCGACCGTGGCCGTGCCAGTGGGATTTGGGCTCTGAGGGGTGTAGGGCGGTGTCCGTGCCGGTCTTGACACAAGTTTGATCGCAATTGTCGAGGTCGGAGGCCGTGTGGGCGTGAAGCGGTGAAAATACCATTTGAGCAGCTCTACAAACCACCCGTTACATCCTAATCCCAAGCAAGAGGTGTGTCATAACAAGGCGCCGCACAAGCAAAACCCTGCAAGGCGTAACCCGGCGTAAGCACTTTTTGGGGAAACAAGCTGCGTAAGCACCTGCGTAAGCTCTTCTTCGTGATAGCTTGGTAAGCTTTGTAAGCATGCTCGGAAGAGCTGTGCTTATGAGATTATTGGTGGCTTGTGCTGTTGCAACCTAGTCGAGCTTGGCAACTTGACCGGAGACTTTGGCTGCAGGAAGTCGTCTAAGACCGCGTGCGCACATCAATAAGAAAGCAAATCCAGCAGAACCTTGATTAGGAGCTCTTGGGGCTCATGCTAGGTGCTGTTGCAACCTTGACTAGGACAAACAAAGGCTTCTGAAACCGCTGACTAGGAAAACTAAAGGGGCTCGGGCGCGTAAGCTCACGTAAGCAGGCGCATAAGGTCCGCGCAAGCTCGCCAAGCTGGCTGCCCGCTAGCCCACGCGATGGATGCCGCTGCCGCATAACCCGTTTCTTGACTTGCAGCAATAACAACAATGCCAAGCCGCTAAGACTCGTGAGGGTAGTTCTTCGTCATCAGGAGCTCGCGTAAGCAATTCTTGAGGGGAAACGCTCAGAACGCCCACGCGTAAGCCATGCGTAAGCTTAACATGCTCGCTGACTGCTGCACAAGCTAAGACATGGGTCGCGTAAGGAAAGCACAAGCTCGCGCGTAAGCAACTTGATACGACATAGGGATTCATTGGAGGTTTATAGGGTCGCTCATTTGACCGTGTCTGCCCGCGCATGCTGTGAAAGGGCCGTGATAATCCGCTAAAAGGCCGAGAAAAATCCGTCACTTGACCGTGGAGCAATAGCACTAGTAGTGTTTGCGAGTGCGATATGGGTTGGTCTCCGAGCGTCATCTGGCGGCCCAACCGTATTTGCAGCTGATGAGCCAATGTCGTGGCTGACTCCAGCACCGGTGGGGGGATGGCCAGCTGGCCACACAGTATGGCGGTTCCGGTGGGGAACAGGGCTGCGTCCGCTTCGCCTGCCTTGCGGACGTCCAAGAGTTCAAAGCGCTGGGCGCAGATCAAGGCCCGCAGATAATACTTCGCAGCACGTACGCCACAGCATGGGAGAAGAGAGGGAACCAAACCCCTTGGTTTTTGGCTGGGAAATGTGGAACATTCGTGAGTGGTGGGGCATGTCGTGAGTTCCCCTGGTTGCGGGAAACTTGTTGTGAGCTATACGGCGTTCTTTTGGCCAGTTGGTCAGTGGCTAGTGACCTGGGTTAGAACCTGCTGAAAAGCATCTAGGCGCTGGCCCTGTGGCTGGATTCTAACCTGGCGCAACCAGAAAATGTTGTACAAGCCGAGCCGTAGAAAGGAGAATTTGTGAACTTCGGATGAATCTCAGATAGGAATCAAAGGAATCCCCCCCAATGGTTTCATGAAATAACTTGATTCCCCATTATGTCTTGCCAATGCCCCCTCCAGGAAGCAAAGGCATTCTCAGACCACATGAGCAACTGCTGCCATTTGCAAAACTGTTTGTAGTCAAATGCATGACATAGGAGAAACTTACCAGACACGCTTAGCAAATTGGGGTTACTCACCACGTGTCCATGTCATTTGGGGACACCTGCTGAAGTTTGCGACCGCAGCTGCACATTGGCCCTTCACCAAACGTCGCACATCAAAACGTCCCTTCGGCGCGGCTGGTTGAACAGGCCGGCATGCAGATCCTGCTGAGAGTGCGCTGAGAATTCAAATGCCCTGCACGAATGACTCACAGTCCTGAGGCAACGCTTGGCACCATCTTACAATTTTAGCCTTGACTAGAAAATGACAAAATACCATTTTCAATTCCTAGGTGTCGGGTTAAACGCTGACCAAGAGTCTGGGCAAATGTCTACTGCCTGACGTAGCGATGCAGCTGGCCTCTGTTGCCCTTTCGCCTTTTGGGTGTCCTTCATGTTCCCTGTCAACCGCAACACAATGTCAGTCTCGCCGAGTTGTAGTTACTCACACCTTGGGCAATTCATCACAATCCTTCATTTAGTTTGCAAGTCGAATAATGATTATGATGTCGTTATGTTTAGTCGCTCTGGGCCAACTATTCGTAGTAGAAGCCTCCAAAAGGGCCAATGAAGGTGTTGTGCTTGGGTTTGTGATTCTAGGCCAAATATTCACCGCAAGTTCCCCACTTACACTTGCTGAACGTGTTCTGTGTTTATTGTGCATGTTGTGTTTGTGACTAGTGCGTGTAAATTCGAAATCGCAGTGATTCGTAAAGGTGTTTTGCGGTGGCAAAAACAACACATGCATGAATTGTTAACAATCAGGCGGAGTCCTTGTCAAGATCATGGGACTCAGTTTCAGTTGGTGAACTGTGAAAGCGTCAGTCAATATGTATATATATATATATACTAATGTCTATAGTTGCGAAAGAGGGGTTTTTGGTTGCCGCTGTCTTTGATACTCTTGGGGAGTCCCGTTAAAAAGCAAGTACTTGTGAGGATGGATTGCCCACTTTGGTGTCGCAAAAACAGGCCCGCAGTCCATATGAACAATAATCCTTACAGGGTTGGGCAGACTTATTCAAACAACTGGACCCTGCAACCCCTACAAAGGGAAGCTAAAAGCATGCCAAACTTAACAGGATACATGTTGCCCATTTGAAACATGGCTTTTTCCACCAAAATAAAGGGAAACCACCATTTACAAGGCAATGTTCAGGTGAATAATGTAAGGATCCCTGCTTAAAACTAATTAGCGGTTAAACACATCGCTTGGTTGACCTATGTTTAGGGGTTGTGCGTGTTGTTTTCTCAGGGACCCTAATGCCCTAAGTGGGTTTGGGGGAGTCCATGGCCTCATGAGGATCAGGCTTGATGTGGCCGTTGCAAGCGGGTCATTCGTGCAGATCCTTGTTTCTATGGCAGCTGAGCCGCATCTGCGGAAGGGAGCTGATTTTCCCGGCGTAATGTTGGGTTTTGTTAAAGCCAAAGACCCTTTTTCGATTCGAACGCCCACACGAAGCCAGTCTTTTGGGCTTCGCTTCATGCCGCTCGAAAACTCATCGTTGTTTGTGCTCGGAAAGATCAGCTCTCGGATTCAATCGCCGGTGTTTCACCCCCTAGTGAAAGCCAAATCCGCGTGGCAGTCGCGAGAAGAAATGCCCGCCAGGGAGCGTTTCGGTGGATTCGAGGTGCAATGGAGCTTGGGTGCATTGTTAGAATTCTTGCCTAGCTGGGGGATTCAACTCTAGCCTCTTTAAGAGAGGGAGCGGATAGGACTTTTCTTGTCAGTGCCAAATGTCCGCCCTTGGGGTTTTAAGCGTCGACGTGAAGGGCCAGTTGAAAGTTCCAAGTGCAGTAATCTTGGCGCAACTAGTACGGGGAGTCCAAAGGTGTCTGTGTTGATCTCCCTTTGCGAGACATGCTTGCAAGCCAGAGAATCTAGGCGTGTCGCAGGCATGTCGGACGCATGTGCTTCAAAGCGGTGTGTTGGTTTTGTCTGCTCTTTTGTCGGGATTGGTAAATACTTCATTTGCCCCCCTTGTCTAAATGGTCACGGTTGTGGAAAGCACGGTTGTAGGGCCACTGTTTGTCATACCAAGGGAGTCTCCTGCAAAGCGGTAGAGTAGTCATGGGCAGCGACTCAAGCTGGTGCCAGTGGTGGTCTCTGCAAATCAGGAAACCTGGGTACATGGAGGATAGTCAGGGATACTCCCAGCCATAAATAGCTGCGGCCGCCTTCTTGATTCTTTACATGGTTCTGGGCAGACCATTTTAATCCCGGGTTTTGATTTTGACTCATGCGGCTCCGCCGCTTTGAGCGGGGCACCAGTTTGCGAACCCCGCAATCCTCCGGTCGTTTCACGTGAGCGGAATGTTTGTTCTTCAAGCTGAATCAAGCGAGCTTCACGCTGACCAGGAGGTGGCCCCGAGCGAAATAGAAGTTTTCTGACACTGCAAAATGTTTTGAAGCTGTCCCTCTCAGAGGCACTCAGCCTCAGCTAGCACTTCATGTTTTGGGGGTAGGGCACATTTGTTGCTGAGAGAAATCCTCAGTGCCCTGTCAAAGTGCAGAAGTGATCAGGTGTTAATTTGAGTTTGGAGGGAGTGACAGATGGCCCTTTGTCTTACAATTTTGACCCAGCCTCATGTTTAATGCTTTTAGCCAGCACTGCCAGCACCAGTGTTTTGTCCGGTGGGATGTTGTCTCAAAATCGGAGTTGGCAGCCAGCGAGTGAAGCGCACTTTCCATCTCCCGATTTGGGAAAACAAATATGATATGCTTTCAGCTTGATGTCATGTGAACATCGTCGTCCTTTCTTTCCCAACTGAAAAGCCTCGGCCTGGGGCGTCCGACTTGGGCATCTCTTTGAAGGCTGAAGCAGTTGTTTGATTGGAGAGGGGGTTTCGTCAGCACTGGTAGGCGAAACCCGAAAGTTTACCTACCGTGGTTTGTCCATTGAACCTAAGCTGTGAGCCTTTCCATGTTAGAAACACGAACGGGTGCTTTTGTGCAGTCAGAGTTGCAAGCCGTAGACTTGCTCCGCCATCCAGCCCTCAAAACTTCCAGGGTTCCGTTCCGATAGCGCCACCTTTCCATTTCGTCGGCAGCTCAGGGAAAGCTCCAGGTGCCCCCAGTATGCCGACAGGTCCCCCCATAGACCAGTGACTCAGTCCCCAGGTCCCTGACATGAGCCCTAAGAGCCTTAGAGGGGTAAGCAAGCTGGGAAGAATCAAAGCATCTCTTTTTGTGGGTACGCTTTTTGGGGTTGGCTTAACAAGAATGAAACCTACCATTTTTTGGGTCGCACCATTTTGAGACACACCCAAATGGGTGGGGAAGTCTAGACAACATGTTCGATGCCCGCGCTGCGGTGGATTTCACCAATTCTTGCACTGCTTGCTCATTCTTAGTGGGGGCTGCCAACATTCCGTCGGCTGAGCCGGAGGGCTTGGATATTGCAGGCTTCGAGTTAAAAGATGATAACGAAAGCGTCGATTTGGTTTGCGTTCACTAGGTTGTTGTTTCCCTCAGGGTTCTTAGGGCAACCCCTTGCAATGAGTGTTTCTCGTGCTTTAGACCTTAATTTCAACACGAGAAGTTCGGCTTTTCACGTGTGAAACCAAGATATGGCTTTCCAATGGAGGGGGGCACCTCTTGTTGGGTTTCCCTTTTCGATCAATCCCTTCCAAAAGGGCAAGTAAGGCACCCACATGGCTGTAGGCCCATGTGCCTGAACCCGTGGGTTGGCAATTGCACCCAGTCGTTGCTTTTTGCAATCGGCATTGGGACCCACTCGCAGCCATTCAGTTCCCTTGAGCAGAAGTCAAGAGGCCCCACCCATTGACCCTTTTAGTCGGTTCTACTGGCTGGTGATGTAATGCATCCAATGCAACGCCTACATAAACCAGAATCACCCCAGCTAATGGGTGTAGGGCGCTGCTCACCAGTTGGGAAGATCAATCAATGGGACTCTGGAAGTGAATTGGCTGCTGAATGATTTCAGAAGAATCCCCCTCAGAAAAAGGCAAGGTGCGAAGTTCGCTCAAGGTCACATGTCCAATCTTTTGGTTGACCTGTTCCAGGCTTGCTGCAAGCCTGGTCAAAACCCGATGAGCATGCACTGTCCTTTGCTTTTCACCGCCAATTTGCTGTGCTAGGATTTGTGTCTTCCATTTGCGCATTGCAAGTTCTTGGGTGCGTATTCGCCATCTTCAACAGAGACACTTTTTTTTTGGTCGGTCACTGGCCATCCGAACCCACTCATGTAGCCCCGGACAGGGGACGGGCGGGTGGGCTCACTTCGCAAGAACACCCCCTATAAATAGGGGGGGATTTCCCAAAAAGGGATTTCGGACAGCCCAAATAGGGGGGATGTCCCTCATTTGCTTTTAAACTTTAGGGATTTCGGACAGCGCTTAGGATTTTGGACTACCCAGAAAGGCATAGGGATACCTTCTTTGCGGACGACCACACACTTTAGAGGTGATCTGATCAGGGCTGTGGCTCGACCCATCGGGTTTGTCCAGACTCTATTTTGAGCCATTTCAATCGTCACCTGTTGGCTTGCCAATCCACATCATGAGTTCCCTTTAATGAGTAGATCTCTGTGTGTGTGAGTCTTCGTGGTGGCATTTGATGTGGGCGTTTAGTTTTTCAGCCTCAAATCGTGGGCCCCGTCTGCCTCTGGCCCGAGGTGACCGGTGATGGATGTCACGGCCAGGAGGGCTGCCAGGAGTCGATCGGGGTGGATAGGGTGGTCTCTACGGGTTGTGCCGACGGCAAGGCAAAAAGACCTGGGTAGATGAAGATGAGCTGAGAGATAGTCCCCAACCATGAGACGATGTGGTCGCCCCTTCTGAGTTTCTTTGCATGGGATTGGGTAGACCATGCTAACACAAGGTCTTGATTATGACTCAAGGCATGGGTGAACCCCTGATCTAGAAACCAAATGCGAAGGCACACCCCCAAACCTCCGAACTCTCAATCGGGGATAAGGTCAGTCTGGAGCCTTACTTGAGCAGCGCTCCGGCCGTCAAGACAACCGAACCACGAGCACAGCGCATTTGTATTGGCTCCTGTTGTGTTCGTACATCTGGAGCAGACAGACAGCCTGTGCCGATCGAGTCTTTGTTGCACCCTTGCCTTAACCTAGAATGTACCTGTTTAAAAGATAGACCCACATGGATAGGTGAGAAACACCATGTCTATGATTGAGTTGGGGTTGATACCGGAGGTTCAGAAACTCAGTTGCATCTAGTCATATTCAGCGCTTATGTGCAACAAAAGCACAGAAACCACGGGGGCCAAGTGAAGGCTTGGGTTTCGACGGTAGCCCTGAGAATCAAAGACAAGTCCTGGGATCTGATCACAACAATATAGCCATCAGTATCTATGCCTGAAGGCTACTGCCTGAGGGCTACCCGGGGATCCCATCCCGGAAATGGTCCTTGACCTGTGGGAAAACCCTTTCAGGGTACAAAGCTGAGCTGAGTTTCGGCATCTATTTGGTCGCAGATGGTCAGGAACCAGAAGTACGGACTTTCGACAATCATTGGAAGGCTGGATATATCGGGAGCCATGACAGCATGTCGTAAGTGCCCACGTTTCGAGTTGGTACCCCGTTCAACGGGAAATCGGTTGATTCCACTTCAAAGGGGCCGCTGCCCTTTTTGTGGTCTTCGGTGTGACCCCAACGGATCTTTTGGACACCATGGGCTTTTCTGTTAAACCTACAACCGGGTTCGATTGCAACCCTACTGTGGGTGGAGGCAACCCTGCACCATCTGAGAAGTCCTAGATTGATGATTTCCCTGTCAATACCAACAAACAAATGGTTTCCCATGGCTTCAAAGTGGTGCAGGATTTCGTGCATCCACAGTAGGTTGCTTGTTTGGGTGCGTGGGATTGCATTGGGAAAAGGTCGAAGCCCCCCAGGATCCTCCTGGGCGCCGCCAGTGCTGGTAGCTCAGATCACCGAAGTGGCCCGTGACAAGTTCATCGCTTACGTTGGGGTTGAGTTGGCTGTGGCTCCAAGAAGTGGAACCCATTTTTGGGCCCCTTGGAAGCAAAGACCAACACCTGCCCCAACCCTTAGATTTTCAGCCACACCCACTTGTTTTTGGGCGTTGTCTTAGCTTTGCTCAGCTGTATGTGGTCTGTTCATGGGCGGCTGAAACCACAAACCAGTGGTTTGCTCACATGCCTAGAGGAATGATCTTCCCTGCATTTGATATGGAGCCCAAAGAAGGGAGTTGCCCAAAGCAAACTATTTGTCGGTTTGCTGAGTTTGCCTCTTCCTGGCGAGCCGAAAAGCGTGTTTTCTTGCAGTAAGGAATGAGGAATGACCCCAAGCTGGACCATCTGGCTTGGGGTTTCTTCACGGTGATCCCTGGATTGATTCCTCAAAACCCTGAGCACCGGCAAGACGATTTTCTGGGATCCATATGAATATGGGGGGGAAGCTATGTTCAAAGGAAGAAGATCAAGGGGAACATCAGGGGACATACCCAAATCCAACATCTAAGTACTAGTTTCAAGTCCGGCATATACGATGGAAGACTTGATTTGGATTTTTTGGGAAAACATGTTCCCTTTGCAAATCTGTTCAACTAGAGCAATGCACTCCGATGGTTCACTGCCAGCTTGTGATGTTTAAGGAGTCCATTGTGCCCTTCGACAGGGCATCATGACTGAGCTGCCAACCTTCAAATGATCCAGCAGTCACTAAAGTCATTTTGAGTTTCCAGTCATATGTTATGTAAGCAACGCTTCTAGCTGGACTTTGTATTGCTTGGATACTGTACATCTGCCTTGGAGAGAGACATCGCAGCGCAACACTTTTCTGTTTGGGGGGGGGGCTTCCTTGATGGTCTTGCTGATTGTTCTGAACCAGCAGATCTGGGATTTGCCGTATTCAGGGATTGTTCCGATGATTTGTTGGCGTCACTTTCCGGACCCCTTAGTTGACACCCTTAGTATTAGTTGACACCCTTAGCAACTCACCATGTGGGACTCGTTGATTGTGCCAAGAATCCAAGTTGGCACTTGGACTGGGGGCTGAGAAGAGGTCTGGTGCGCTACGAGTTGTCGCATTGTCCGCAAGCCTCAAGGTGACTCTGCAGGGCTGCGACGTGCCCACGCCAATTCCTCGGCCAAGCAGCCAACCAGGGAGCGGTGAGAAACACCGGGCAAAAAGCATTTTGTGTTCCCCTCTCTCCCACTAACATGGCAACTGACAGGGGGTCCCTCCAAGAGGAAACAGATCTTAAAGTACCCTCCAGATGCCATGTTAGTGGGAGGGAGGGTAAGCTGGGTGCAAAGCTTGGCAACTAGGCGTGAAATGGTCAACCTGCCGCTACTGAGGCTCCGCAGGGACGGTCATGGACCCCTTAAAAGTTGATGGAAATTTAGACGACAATACACATTCCGTTTAGGATGCTTGATGTTTCCAAGAAGGCAACAAGGGATGGGCGTTGCATGTGTGTGTGTGCGTGTGTTTTCAATGATCAAGGGTCAAGACGCACCACCAACGATGCGCAGTTCCGTTGCTTTCACTCGCTGATCGTTCAATCATTCATCCGCTGGGCGCGGGTGGTCAGTGTCGGTGCACTTTTGAACAGACCAGAGGACAAAAACCAATAGGCGGAGACTGGGCTGGAAAGATCAAGTTCGGTGGATGTCTAATTAGCACCGAACGATGGTTGCACAAGTTTGGGTTTCAGGGCCACGTTCTGCGAGAATTAATTATAAAGGGGATTCGTTAACAATCATATTGGAATCAGCCACTTTGGTAACTTTGTCACAGAAATGCGATAGACAACTAGCTGCTATCACGGAAAGGCCATCCGGATAAAGCGATGGGTTTAGGTAGCGACATGGGAACCAACCACTGTAGTAACTTTGGTATCCCGGAAAGGCGAACCGCATAAAGCGATTGGTTCAAGTAGCCACATGGGAATCATGAATCAACCACTTTGGTAACACAGACAGGGGCAACCATGTCCATGTTTCACTAGCTGGTAAAGTTACGCAGGGGCCATCGTTTGACTGTTCTAGGATCTTTGGAGTAATCCTCGTCAAGGGAATTCAATATGAGGGGCTCAGTATTTTGAAACATGTTGCTCCCATGCTGATAACTTAATCTGTCTTGACAAATACCAAGACCCAATTCGAGTTGTATTATTAGGCTCTTCAAAGTAACATAATAAACAACATGTGGCTTTGTACCGCAACTCATTTGTTCCAACCTGTTTTTTTGTGTTGTGCAGATAGCCGAAAAAGCCAGCCGACGCCTCGAACGAGGCACGCGGTAGGGCATTGGCAGACCTTGGAGAGCTACTTGGAAACCTACCAGGCGATGGTCGGTTTCCGTGTCATGGGACTGGGCACCGGGCACCAGAAGAACTCTGGGTTTGATTGGGGGTGTCCCCTAAAGTGAACATCACTTTTGGAGGGGAAGGCCCGCTAATAACTAGGAGGCATTTTTCCAATTAACCCGGGGTTCATGGTTTCAACAACCTTTGCGTTTCCCTTCCAGTAGCAAGGGCTTGTTGTTTTCTGCACGGGTTGCAACCAACCAACTTTGACTGAATGTCAACCCCGAGCAGCAAATACTAATAAAACCTAACAGCGTGGGGTGTTACTTAGATTCTACAAACATCATCAATATTCAACGGGCACTTTGAAAGCGACCAAAAAGAAAAGATAATAAAGATTTGCAACTCCCAAATGGGTGGATTTTCATTTTGCTTTTTTCAAAGCAAGATACACAGGATACAGCGCCTCACACAAAAATGCGCTCATATGAGTGTGGCAAGAAGAAATGTCCCTTTACAACCCACTGAACAACCCTCATTTTCTTAAGAAAGTCCCACCCCCTACCCCCACCCCCTCTCCCACCGTCCCACCCCCCACCGTCCCCCCCCCCACCGTCCCACCCCCTCTCCCACCTCCACCCCTGAAGTGTCGGCGCCACGCCGCGCACCTCGACTCGACGTCGACTTCTCGCAGGCGGCTGCCCCGGGCCAAGCCGCGACGCTCAACGGCTGCTCCCTGGCCCTTGGCTCAGCGAAATGTTGACGAAGTCGAGGTGCTTGGAACCTCACGGTGTCCTCCAAAAGGAGTTGGGATGCTCCCCCAATAGTGCCCGTTTTACCGTTTCTTTTCTGGGGGGAGGGTTCGGGACCTAAAATAGACGACCAAAAAAAGGTTGGTACCCTTATTCTAACTTCTCTACTGGAGGACCTAGGATGTGAAGGGACCTGTCAAATGTTTCAAAGCCCATCTTTGAGGTTTTCTGGGGTTTCCTCCAATATGCCTTTGGAGATTGGAAGGCTGACGCAACAATGAGACAGAATCTGAATATGTAAGATTCGGTGTACTCTGGGGTTGGGCTGAGTTTCCTCAGTTTCGGGCCCCCTCTCGATGCGGAGACAAGCCCGGAGACGTAAGAAATGCACATATATAGGTTGTCTCAAAGGCTGAATTCTATGTTGTGAGGGTGCTTGAAGGAACTCAAAGAGAAGCCAGCCTTCAGTGTTCCAGTTTCCATATTATATGCCGGGCTGGCTTCGCAGGTTTGGAAGCAATCCAGTGGTCCCTAGTTCTCCCGTGTCCGGAGGGCTACTCATCCCGAGCCAAGGATAGCCCCAGATATCTGCAGTGCAACGGCCACGGCGTGTGCCGCGCGCCCAGTGTTAGGGAGGAAACCGGGGAATGTGTTAAAGCCACATTCTGGTCCTCCCAGGAAAACCAACAAGGTGTTTAAACACTGGTGTAAACCGTTTAAACAATCGGTTGGCCATGTGCATGGCACTGAAGGTAGTTGTAGGTTGCCACTTTCGGAGGATTTGTTTGCAGCACAGGAAAGCCCCCTTGTAGTGGGTGACGAAGTGGCCGTACGGATGGCCCGCCTTGATATCACAGAAAGCAGTATTCCCACAACCATGAATAAGGTTCAATACAGGGTTGGGAAATGTTTTTCAACAATCAGACTTTGACAATTCTTTACAGGAGAGCCAACAGGGGCTATTTGGGAATACGGGCTTAACCGCGTTTCAGAACAGGGTTTTGAGAACAATCAAAAAACACAACAAACAAGACAATGAGTTGGTTGGGACGGCTTGTGGGAGAGCAACCTTTGTTAAAACCGCCTTGGTCTTTCTCTCATGTGGTTTTCGGACCATGCGTCGTGTTTAATGTGTGGGACTGGGTATGTTCCGGCCACCCAGAAGTCAAGCGAGCAATATGTCGTGATCATATTATGTTGCAACGGCGATGACATGGGGTGAAGCCAAACGGTGATGACATGGGGTGCAGCCACGCGCAGGTTCACATTTGCATGGGCCGTTGCTCAAAACGAATGGCTCGCTCTCCGAGTTGGTTGACGGTTGTACTTGTGGGGAAGCCTCTTTGTTGGCACACGACCACTTCTTACTTTGCTTGCCATCCACGGAGGAAGCGAGACGATGTCGACTATGTCCACACGCAGGTGTGCGAACAAGCGTACTCACTAATTATGTTTGTTTGCTGGCCTGCTTGTAGTCAGTGGGAACCAATCAACCAATCAGTTCCTGACCAACGGCGCAGAAAGATTAGTCAGGGGCTTACTTCAAGTGAGATGGAGACCTTTGCTCACATGAGTGCAAGCACCGACTCGTTCTGGGTGTCTGAGGCACGTCATGGCTGAAGGATCCGAACTCCGACAATGCAACGGAGGCGTGCAACAAGTGCTTGGCGTCGGATCTTCCGACTTTGGCTTCTTGAAAATGGTGATGTGTCCCACAAAGCTGCAAGCAGTTACATTTTTCGGGGAGGGGGTACTAGCCGTCAAGGGTCATGCACTTCGTGAAGCCGAGGAGCCATGATGTTCCTTCGGAAATGTTCATGACTGGGGACACATGTGAAGTGGCACCTTAGTCAATGGAAAATAATGGAAATAAACAGGTGCCAACAGAGGTTTCACATGCATGTAGCCCTGTAGAGCATATGCATTTAGTAGAACCTTAAGACCATGTGCTGTGTGGGTTTAAAACTTGCGATTCGTTCTCAGGCAATCAATTGAGGCAACGTGAGTATGTCTCAAAATAGGGGATTGGAGCCGGAAACAGATCCGAGTGAGTTGCAACAGAACGCTCCATGACTAAAGCCCAAGTCCCGGCCCGCTTGAAAGAAGACAACATGGCGAAGGTAGGGGAAGGGCTGGAGTTTGGACACACCTCCTTTCCCCAAGAAAAAAAAACAATTGAATCTTCTCCCTCCCCACTATAAGAAGGGGTTCGCATCACATCGTTGGGTGAGTTGCTGCAACTTGTAGTTTAGCGTTGACCCATCTTCAGTGCTTGCCAAGAACTTATTTCATGGTGGAGCCAATCGCAAGTGAGCAGCGGCAATCCCATTGACTTTGGGTCGCGCCAAGATAGCTTCCCATGAAGCCAAGTCGATTCAACAGAAATCACACTGGTTTTGTTCCCTAAAGTACGTGCCCCAGAGACATATTCTTACATGTCCCAAAGGTTGGCAGCCCGCTTTAGAAGGAATATGGTTTGGGACCCACCTACTCATTTCCCTTGACAGCCCCTTCTTCGGCAAACTTTCGAGGGCTGCAGTGAGACCCTCGCGCGGGCGGCGCGCTTTTCGCGCTTCGCGGGTTTCGCGAGATGTGAGCCACACTCAAAAGCGGAGTAGATTAATGGTAAGAGACAACACAACCATAAATAGGGCAGACACCTGGTCTGCAGCGCTTTAGGCAACCACTTAAAAGTCACGTATAGTTGTTTTGAATATAACTTCAATTTGCCTAAGAATATTGTAACGCCTCCGGCTCAGGCCGCCGACTTTACAGGCCTGCTTTCTTATTTGCGTCCCTTTGGAATTGTCTTTTCCCCCCTTTCCCTGTTGAGATCCTTTCCCCCCTTTCCCCCCTAAGGCCTTTCTCTCCTCTGAGATCTTCCCCCTTTGCCTCCCTAAGATCTTTTCCCCACTTTCCCTGTTGAGATCCGTTCCCCCCTTTCCTCCCTAAGGCCTTTTCCCTTCCCGAGATCTTCCCCCTTTTCCTCCCTAAGATCTTTTCGCCCCATTCCCAGTTCAGATCCTTTCCCCCCTTTCCCCCCTAAGGCCTTCCCCCCCCCCCCCCCCCCCCGAGATCTTCTCCCTTTTCCTCCCGAAGATCTTTCCCCCCCTTTCCCTGTTGAGATCCTTTCCCCCCTTTCCCCCCTAAGCCCTTTTCCCCTTTTCCTCCCTAAGGTCTTTCCCCCCTAAAAAAAACTTTGCCCCCCCCCCCCCGCCCCCAGATCTTTGCCCCTTTTTCCCCCCCTTCTAATATCTGTTTTTCTTCTTCACTCCCGAAGATCGTTTCACCCCCAAAGATTTTCCCCCCTTCCTAAGATCTTTTCCCCCTTCCCCCCCTTATAACATCTTGTCCCCCCTTCCCCCCCTAAGCGACCATTTCCCCCTAAGATCTTTTCCCACCTTTCCCCCCACTCAGATCTTCCCCCCCCCTCCCCTTTTCACCTTCTAAGATCGTATTCCAACTTTCCCCCCCTAAGATCTTTTCCCCTTGGGATCCCCCCCCCTTCCCCCAAGATCTTTTCCCTGCTTTGTCCTCCTAAGGTCTTTGCTCCCCCCCACTAAGATCTTTGGCCCCCTTTCCCCCCTTCCCCTCAAAGATCTTTCCCCGCCCCTTCCCCGCCCCAAACCTTTTCCCCCCTTTCACCCCGCCTCTTTCTCCCCCCTAAGATCCTTTCCCCCTTGCCCCCCCTAAGATCTTCCCCCCCCCCCTCCCCCCTTATAACATCTTTTCCTCCCTTTCGCCCCCTAAGATCGTTTCCCGCCTTTTTCCCCCCAAAGATCGATTGCGCCCTTTCCCCCCAAAGATCTTCTCCGAGCTTTCTTCTTCGCGAGCCTGCGCCAAATTGGCTGAACAAGGTGTTGGCAGGGCGCCGGGGCCGTGCCTCAACCGCTCCTGGCCGCTCGCAGGGCACGAGCTCATTGCGCGCCTCGGTCCGCTCACGGAGCTCGGCGGCAGCTGTCTCCTGCCAGGACGCGCGGCAACGCGGTCCGCAGCATTGGTCAGCCTCAGTTGACACCCTGGACCGTCTACGGCGAGAGCGCAATGTCCAAGCTCGATGTTGCGCAAAGCTATTTCGGCCATTTCGGGGTCGGAGTAGGCAAGGTCCGGCGCCACCTGAGTGGTTGCGTGCTTCCTTCCGTTGATTTGGCTCAAGATGTCTGGCAGCATGAGGTGCCACTGGCCGGTCCTGCTGCTATGCGACGCAGCATGGCCTCCTTGATGGTGCGGATGGTGCGCTCCGCAAAGTAGGCGTGGCCCCTTGTCACCTGCTTTTCGATGTCCCAAAAATCCATAGCTCCTGCCAAAGTGGGGAGCGAACTTCCGCCTGTTTGCGCGTCTGCGCAGAACAGCTGACTGGTGAACCGCGCGATTGGCGAAACTCAAGCGCGACAGGCTGGCGATCGGACCGCGGGCAACTTTGCTGCTCACACGTTGTATGGAGCCGACGCACGTCTCGCTGATTTTGACTGCGCTTCAGAGCCCTGAATTATAATTGATCTCGCTTGCGCCGGGCCAGGGCGCCGGGGCTGGAAGCTGGAAACCAAAACTTCACCGCCGCGTTCCATGGTTGGGAATGCGCCGAGAGAGCGTTCCGAGCGCAACCGCAAGACCCGCCACAGCCCGCAAACTGCTCAAACCCGCAAAGCTGCCTCCCACGCTCAAAGCCAGCCATGACAGCCCGCAACAGCCTAAGGCGTGGCGAAGCGCGCGCGTCGACGGCGCCTCCCCCAAACGTAGCGGCGCTGGCGACCCTGGTGCTGGCCGCAGCTGCCGTTGGGTCAAGCGGCGGCTCGGGGTCCCCGACCCCGCCAACACCGCCCGACGTGGTTGCGGACGCGAAAGGCGATCTTGATCGACTCGGGGTCGATGAAGGACGTGCCACTGGTCAGCGGGATGCGGCAGACCCGCGAGGTGGTGGGAGAGAAGGAGCTCAGCGAGCTGGGGAAGTACTGCACGTCGTGCCGTGCTGTCACGTAGCTGGTGTTGCTGGTCTTCAGCTTGTCTAGCCCAGGCTCTGCATCAGCTCCGGCGGTGACTACCTCCATGCTTCTTTACATTCATTTACCACGACGCGCAAATCGTGCAAAAACGAACTATCCCCCCAGTCCGTCTGTGCGCAGACGGACTGGGGCCTTTTCATATTTTTCCCTCTTTCTTTTTGCTCGACCTTCTCCCCCTAAGATCTTTCCCTCCCTCCCCCCCGTGATCGTTTCCCCCTTTCCCCCCCCAAAGATCCGCTCCCCACTCTCCCCCCCTTAGATCTTCTTCCCCCCCCCAAGATCGTTTCACACTTTCCTTCTCTTCCCTTTCGTGCTCCTTTATGTCTGTTTTTTCTCCTTTTCCTTCATTTCACTTCATGTCATTCATTTCCATGCATTTTCTTTCCAGATTTTCCTTCACCAGCATGGGTAACATCCCCAGCATCAATTGCATCATCCGCATGCTTGGCAGGCGCTGATACGGATGATGCAGGTGATGATGCAGGTGATGCTACCGTTCCATCTCTTCGCTTCCAAGTCCTTACCCAACTCTCAGAAATTGAGTCGTGAGTGGGCTGGAGGGAACGGATCGGACAGACGGACGGAAAAGAGATTATGAAAGTAAATAGCTGGTGATGGGAAGAGAAGGGATCCATTCACCATTTACTTTCTGTCTCTCACCTCCTGTCTGTATCTGAGATATGGAGGCGTAGGAAGGATATGGCGGGCTTTTCTTATTTACTATCATGTTTTATTTTGTACATCATATCGACGGATGGTGAACAGGCGATGTTGCCCAGGAGATGCTAAATGCACAAGCGGACCCGGGGGGAATCGAACACCCCACTGTTTTTGCGCAACCCCAGAAGAAAGGATCACAGCGAGGCACCCCCCCCGCCCAGAAATAAGGGGAGGAATAGCAGGTAAAGAGGAAAAGAGTATTTCTTCTGTCCAAGTATGTTTTAGTGTCCTGTTATGTTTTGCGAGGGGAATCTACTGTGGATGGACGCAACCCTGCACCTAGGAGACCGTGGTGTCTGATCATCCCCCCGTAAATGCCAGCAAAGAATGGTTTCCCATGGTATCAAGGTGGTGCGAACGGATTTTGTCCATCCACAGTATCACTGGAGACAACTTTCATATTTCCAGCTGGTTCTTCCTCAGGTGGCCTCTTCGCTGAAGTTCTGCCAGTGTGAGGAGGACAACTCACTCGGATCGTGGGGCTTCAACCATTCGAGTTCTGATGAGGGTCGCTTTCTCTGGTTGGTTTGACTCACTCTCTGAGTTCCTGGACTTGAAACTTTTTTTGGGTGACCATTTTAGTGGCAAATAGAAGTGTTGGCTGTTGTTTGGCCACTCCACTCAGGAAGTGAGCTACGTCACCATTCCTGGTTTCTTAGACCCAGTTCAATTTCGGCCGCGGCCTGCCTCAGGAAGTCCTTTCCAACAGGTGCGGCAAGTCGTCCGGAAACCCTTTCTTAGCAAAGACCCCAAGGCTTGTGCAAAAGGAAGGTGAGAAAAGCCTGGGGCTCAAATCATTAGCACAATGGTTGGGTGAATATATCCACCCTTCTCCGTTCAGGAGTTTCATAATATAAATCCTATGGGGTAGACTTGATGGGTCGAGTAATATTTAGCGACGGGCTACCCTTTGTATGTAGACCTTATTGGGTCATAATGAGTCGGGTAGATCTTAATGGTACTTACCAACACAAAGTTCAACCATGTTTAAATCGGGCTTTCCGTCCATTTGATTCGCGTAGGGTCCTCGTTTTCAGTCGGCTCAGCGAATTCCAGCCTCCGGTTCCCTGTTACCAGGGTCTGAACAGCTGGGATGTTTTATTGTTGGAAATATGTTTAAACACTCACTTTCCAAGTGCCTGGACTTAAACAACTTTTTGGGTAGACCATTTTAGTGGCAAAGAAAGAGTTTGTGACCAATCCACTCAGGAAGTGAGACCATGGGAATACATACAGGCATGCATCATGCATACATTGCATACATTGCTTACATTACATACATTGCATACATTACATGCGTTACATACATTACATACATAACATACATGACATACATGACATACATAGCACACAGAACATACATATCATACATCACATACATAACATACATATCATACATATCATAATTAACACACCTAACATACATAACATACATACATAACATACATACATAACATACATAAATACATACGTACGTACATACATACGTACGTACGTGCATACGTACGCACATACGTACGTACGTACATACGTACGTAGGTTCATGCATACATGCATACATGCATGCATGCATGCATGCATGCATACATCACATCACATCACATCACAGTACATTACACTACACTACACTACACTACACATTACATTACATTACATTACGTTACGTTACATTACATTACATTACATTACATTACATACAAACATCACACTACACTACATCACATCACGTTACATGTGACGTCATTACATTGCACTATATCACAATTCATTACATTACATTACATTACATTACATTGCATACATACGTACATACATGCATTACTTTACATTACATGACACTGCAATACAGTCAGTTACATATATAACAAAACACAACTTACTTACCGGAACACAACATATATACTATAACATACCTTGCGTACTGTATCGTACCCTACCATACATACCATGATGCACCCTTTGCAAATATATGCATGTATGTACAAATATATATATATATATATACGTGGACGCTCCAACAATGTGTTTTCAGTCTCTCGCAGAAACTGGTCGCAGCAACTGCCAACCCAAAAACACGACGCAAAAACGACACGTAAGCTGAAAAGTTAGACACGGAAACAGCGCAATTCGACACAGAACTGCTGTCGTTTGTTGATGTGTCAGCATCAGCCTGAAAACCCGAAAAAACCTGAAATAAAATTACCTTTGGAGGGCGCAGGTTTATATAGGTCGATACTTCCAGCGCCAACCTGTTGGATTTATAGTGTCGATAGGAAGGTACCAACCGATATGTGTGATACTCCTAAGGGACTCAGGTATATATGTGTGTCCTTTTTGCTTCTCACGCGCGTGAAAAAGGCGCCTCGCCAGGAGTGGGCGGATCCCAACTGCCAGACGCCTCGGAAGTCCCAGCAGATCGCGTGCGCCGGGGGATGCGGAGGGGAGGGAATTCAATCCACCCACAAAGGGACATCAATATAACACGTAGCACCATAAAGCAATTTGAGTCAGGTCCACCGCCGGGGTAAGTGGGTGTCCCAACCAGAAATAGGTGCGGCCGCCTTCTTAGCTCTTTGCATGGTTGTGGGGTAGACCAGTTTGATACCAGGTTTTGGGTGTGACACATTTGAAGATGGGGTGGAGTTGGGAAAACTCCAAGGTTCAGCCAAAGAGCCGATTCCACGAAAGCTGCCAGCTCGACCTTGAAAGCAGAAGCACAAGGATCTTGCTGGAGCTTGCCAGAATTGCTGAGGGGAGTCCGACAGGTTAGCTGGGAACGAGTGATCTCACCTATGAAGGGGTTCTTACTTCTAGTTCTTGAACCGCGGTAATTTGTGCAGATGAAGATGGGCGCACCGTTTGTCCTTGATTGCCATGAGAATAAAGGAATCGCAGAACATGTAGACGCCGTGTCCACAGCATGTAGATGTTTTGCTCGTTTTTATTATTATTGATGTGTTGTACCCTTGTTGGGTTTTCTTGAATGGAACCTTAGGCAGAAGGATGAACCACGGGCATTGTTCGGGGGCACAGCTCCACGTCATTTGCAACGATCAGAGGTGGGCTCGACAACTTCTCCAGTGCTCCAGTGTCGGTATGGTTTTCATTAACTAGGGTTCTGAGTCTGTGAGGGGCCAAGGAAAACAGGGTTTTGCAAGTAAGCAACTAGTCACAAGCATGGGCATCCCACGTTGGTATCATAGAGAATAGGAATGTTCCACGACCATATCCCAGTTGTCCTGTGGCATTTTGTTCGTTGCAAACAACAACATAGTCAGCACATCGGCCACGAGATGTCCTTGCAACTAGCCACTCAAGCAGGTCTACCCCATTTTGACCCAGGGATACCTCAATGAAATTGGGTTTCCGGGGCTGTAAAATTGCGTGGCCCCTGGTGGGCGTTTTTGTCGGTGTGGTTTTGAAACCGGAAAGCAAACCGAACCACCTTGCGGGCGATTTATGCCATGGATAATCCCATATACAAGCTATGCGTCCTTTTCCTATGTGTAAAATGCTACGCTATGGCACCCGGCACCGCAGGTTCCTCCTCTCGATGTTTGGAGGATTCTTGGGCAGGAGCCACAGGCAGTTCGCTCGCCTGGGCTTTTTCGAACCTGGATCCCACCCTCGGGCCTTTGACAGAGCACGTTCTTTTTTTGGATCATCCGCGACGGCTTTCTCTTGAAACAATGATCCTGTTTGAGAACCATCCGCCGAACGCGACAGACTTTAAGGTTCTCCTTTTCTAGAGAACACCTTAAGGTTCTCAGATCAAAGACTGAAAGAGCAGTATTCGTGGAAGCTTTTTGATGATGTGAAGGGTGTCTCTCTATGTGAACATTGGAAACTCCAAAAATACTTGTTCTTTTGGCTGGCCTCCTTTGAAGGCACCTCCGAACAGAGTACCCCAACACAGCCAAACCCATGTTCGTATGTGTAATGAATTTGGTTGCTCTCCAACAGTCGCATTAATATAATGTTTCTGAGGCAGGCCATGTTTGTTCCAGGCAACATACATTGGTCAAATCACAGCCTTGCGCCACGTCCTATGCACTTTGCTGTGTATCGGATCAGCTCAATTCTGATTTGAGCACCCCCGAAAACCCTGAACCCCTCGTGGACATAGGTGGGTTTACTACCTGCCCGTATAAACCAACCCAGTGGATCCCAGTTACCACGGAAGTAGGCAACCAACAAATGTCCGTTTGGTTTCAAGGGTGGCAAGCCCTTGGTTACCTACTATTAAGGTAAATGGAATCACCGGGCATGACATCAGCAAACAAGTGAAAAGTCGGCCCAAGAGAGAGGTCTGGATCAGCTCTACCTGGGATTCTTCTTTCCCTACGGCCTGCTCAAGGCCGGGTCTCAAGCGAGGAACTTTGGATGGCTTGTAGTTCCCATGTTTAGAGAGATTGCGTACGCATGTTTTTGGTATGATTCAAAGGTTGGATTAAGAACCTGAAGGTCAAAATTCAGATTGAGCGGGTTGCGGGTGAGAAGGTGGTGTGCGTTCTGGTCAGCCACACGCCGAAGGTTTCTGGAAAGACGGATACCTGAAAAGCATGGGGATTACTGTGGATGCTGTCGAAGCATGGTTGAAACATGCTTCACGAAACATCTGTGGTTTCGCATTGTTGGTTGACTCTCGTTGTTCAACCACTCACCAACTTCAGACACTCACTTCCCCAAAACCGGCCTGTTGATCAGGCCTCTAACGAGGTGAACATTCATTTTTTGCTGGGCCTTGTTGGGCTAGTTTGCTGCCATGTGTTGGGATTATGTTGGGATCTTTCTGGATGTTTGTTTTACATTCAACTTTGCCACTCATGGACCAGAACCCAAGAAGTCATGTTGAGAACTTCTTTTTTACATGCTTGGATCCTCTTTCCAAACCTGCCGACAGACTTTGCTAAGCTGCAAACAGTGAAGGTCCTTCAGAAACGCCCTGGAGTCGATGGTTTCGGCCACCGGTTCCCTCCGAAGGCCTTGAAGAGGTGAGTTGGGGTCTAGAAGGGGTGCTTTGTCCAATGGTTCAGAGCCATAGCAAGGGAAGGCATGGAAAATTCACCAAGGGTTCTAGGCTCCTGATACTTACCATTGCAACGGCTCCCCTTATGGCTCTGAAGCATCTTGGTTCGAGAGGTAGGGAACGTCATTCCGGGTTTGGGAATGAACTGTTTGGGATCCCCTTATACATAAAGGGAACCACTAGCTGGATGGTTCAGTTTGCGGTCAATTCCAACTCTTGAACAAATGAGCCCTAAAAACCATCAAACCATCCTTCGGTTTGAGGTCATTCAAACTTTTGCTGACTTTTTAAGCACCAGTAGAAATGATCCAACCGGTGGTTTCGGTTTGAGGTCATTCCAAGTCCACTGTTACTGAGGGAACCACCAGCCGAATTTATCCAACTGGTGGTTTCATCGCAAACGTTTCATGCCCAAAGCTCCAGACATCTCGCTCCCGACCTTGGATCGATTCAGCCCCGGTGGGTTCACTCGCCAGCTCTTGACCCTCGGCGGCGCGGGGCTCTGGTGGATCTACGACTTGGTGCGGGCGCCCGGATGTGGGGGGGGGGGGTCTAGCTTGAAGCTGAGGGGTTGCCAGAATTTGCAGGCTGCTTACTCTCTATAAGTTTTATTGTTATTTTAGTTTTGACGAAGCTCCTTTCAGACCCAGGAAAACCCTAACTTTTTGCAGGTGGTCTGAGTCTGGCGCAGAAAAGTGAAGAGGTGAAGATTTGGGCAGAGACACAAGTGTCATGATGTTGCTTCCTGGAATGCATGTCAAAATTGGAAGTCTGATGCCTTACTCATGAGGCCAGCAAATGCAGAGAAAGACATCATGGAAGAGATGTTGGCTACGATTATCATCGTTTGAGGATACTTTTTTGTTTTGGGGGGGTCTTGGTTGTTTTTGAGGCGGGAGACATATGAATTTCAGGGCTTCTGAATAGAACTGGAGTTGTAACTGGTGGTTTCGGGCGAACCCAAAGACTTCCTTTTGCTCTTTTTTTTATGCCCTGTTGGTTTTAAAGGGTATCCATCACTATTGGACTTTGTTTCCAGGGGCTTAAGCAAATGGAAGAAGAGAAGACAACAGTTGCGTTTTCGACGCGAGCTCCAGCGAGGTTCGGATTGGGTCCAGCCCCGTAGCCACTGCGGCGAACTTCCAGGCGTGGTTTTGGCGCGACTTGGAGCCCGGTTTGGATCGGTTTTGGATTTGTTTGGTGTGTGTGTGTGTGTGTGTGTCCAACCCTGTTTCCAAGGTAACTAACCAACAAACCCCAGTTTATTGTCCGGAGAGAATAGTGCACTAGTGTATTCATTTTGCAGCTTGCCCTTTGCAGGTTGGTTTGTTTTTGGGAAACCCACGTGAAACCAATCGGACTTCTTCTTTTTGTTTGGGGGGGGGAGGCACCTTACGTTGACACAACCTATTTGGGTTCCTTCTCATGTTGCATGCAGAACCAGAAGGGGTACCTCCTCCAGTGAACTCGGGTGCTCGTTGCCAAGTGGTGAGATTCACCTTGGTCACCACCCACTGCGGATGGTTGCGAAATCCGTTTCGCACCACCGAAGAGGCCCCGGAACGATGATTCCCCTGCAAATACCAACCAACAATGGTGTCCCATCGTTTCAAAGTGGTGCGAAATGGATTTCGTCCATCCACATTACCTACCTAAACTCGACTTGGGGGGACTTATCAGTACTAGTAGGTGGACTTTAGGGCTGCCAAATATGAGCAAATGCGTTCGCGAGAGCTGGTTGGTTGGGAGCTAGAACAGGGGAGGTCCGTATGTTCAAAAAACGGACCCCTCAAACATGGGCTGGTTCCTGAACTTTCCCTTAAACCAACTTCATTTAGAAGCGTGGTTTGTTGGGTACGGATTCGGTATGCCCGTCCGGTGTAAAGCTACAGGGTTGCTCGGAACCTGAAAAGAAAAACCAAGTACTTGGGTGGAATAGTTTGTCCCTTGCATCAGGATTTATTTTGTTTCCTTTGCCTTCCTTTGCTGTCCTTTGCTTTCCTTTGCTTTCCTTTGATTTCCTTTGGTTTCCTTTGGTCTCCCTTTACCAAGGTCCAAGTTTAGGCGCCAAATCAAGGTGCGAAGGTGGTTCTTTTGAGACCGGATTTGGCAAGTTGGACAGTAACGCCAATAGCCAGACTGGTGCCATTCGAAGTTGGTTGGTTTGACCTTGAACCCGACATGGGGGTCTTTGGAAATAGTGGAACCCGTAAAGATTGAGTGATCCCTTTGAACACATGAGTGATTTCCTTAAAACACACGTAGGTGGGTTCCTCATTACCTCTAGAAGTAGGTGATTTTCTTTTGGCTTCCCTTTGAAACACCCCAAGAAGCGTGTGCCCTGATTGAAGCACCCACATGTTTCCCCACTTTTCAGTAAGCAGGTGTTGTGGGCGTGCTGGGTTGATAGTGCCTGGTGTTTATTGCATATCCCGTATACCCGTATAGTCTTTCTTTGTGCAGACCCCATGGCGTCAACGCCCCGGATTGTTGAAACTGATTTTACACTGTCCAGGAAGATGTGTTTCCAGGGGCATTCTTCACAGGGTTTGCCTGTTTCATGGGCGAAGTTGAGCCATTTCTTCTCCGGCTGCAGGCTTCCAACTGTAAGTTTTCTTGGGTGTCAAACATCGCCTCTTGGAAAGGAGGGCTCACTCCTTGCTGTTGGGAAAACCATGGAGGCAAACAAGCTCGGACTTGTTTTGGCCAATCCGAGGTGAGTTTCCTTTGGTGGACCGAGGGGAAACCTTCTTGCAGCTTAACATGGAACCTCAGAAACTCGCCTCTTGTTCCTTTGGGTTCCTGACGCTCAGTAGGGGAGCTCGATTTTTTCCACCCACCAGGGGGCAAACCCGAGCCAAAAGCCAGGGACCCCGGAAGATGTTCCCACCAGGCCTCCCGAAAATTCAACCCATTTCAAGTTGGGTCCGTTGGGTCCCATTGGTCCTTTCACGCGAGCGGCCAGGTCGCTGAGAACGTACCACACTGGGCCTTCGCGCGGACCTGAGACGACGGTACCGATCCTCGAGCCTCCCTGCAACATCACCTCCACTCACTCCCTGGGTTGCTGGACTTTAGACTTTTGGGGAAGACCATGTGGCTGTGGGTCAAAAATAGGTACCCAAAATGAAACCCTGGCAAATGGAACCAACGACTAAAACCTGCGGTCCCCTGGCTCATACCCATGTGAATAAAGAGTTCGGTCATTTTTTGGCTGTATCAAGAAGTGAGTCCAGTTCTGGTTGCTTGCCAGGCAGCGAGTTGGGATGTTCGGAGCAAACCAGGTAGGCGCACCCTTGTCAGCTGACCTTCATTTGCAGAGGGCCAGTTCGTTGCGAAGACGTATGTGAGATGCCCGAATACCCGCGGTCTTGGAAGCGCTGGCAAAGCAGAAGCAGCGAGAAAATTTGACAACAGGACAGGGAACTTTCAGGCCAAGCAAGACGATGCCGTCGCACATCTGGACCTTTGGGAGGGTTCAACAACTTTTTGCGCACTAATGGGTTTTCCATTGAACCACTAAAAGTTAGTCACTTTTAGCAGGGCTTCGCAGATTTCGCCACCGAGTTTAGATTGCTTCCTGCCTTACGGGTCCTGAGGCGTGTGCAGGACCCGCAACAACCCCCGAACTGCCTGGGGGTCAAAACCGGAAGCAAAAAATCCGCGCCGAAAATTCCATGGCGCGGCTTAAGATAGGAACTTTAAGCGTCGTGGCGGTTTCCCCAGTCCAAGACACGCCTGCATCTTGATTTGCGATCGGCCAAGGGAACCAAGAAGGAACTCCATACTGTGGATGGACGAAATCCTGCACCACCCCAACAAACCCTGGAATGGTGATTTCCCTGCAAGTTCCAACAAACAATGGTTTACCATGGTTTCACAGTGGTGCAGGATTTCGTCCATCCACAGTATGTTTGATGGTCAATCAACCTCTCAGGCATTCGAGACCACAAGGGTTCCAACTTTGACGGCCCAACGACCACGACCACGGCCCGCTTTCCGCTTTATGGCGGTTTGAAGTTCCAAGGCTTGCGCACAGAGGGTTGCATTCCGCGCTTTTAGACTTGGTTGGCCTGTCCACTGCCAAGAGCATTTGCCAAGGTGAGCGACGGACCAATCGCATGTCCTGCAAACGGACACTTTCGGAATCAGGCCGTTGTCCTCCTAAAAGTGGGAGTTCAAACGGCAACGGGCCACTCATCTTAAGATGACGATGGTGAGTTCCGGAAACGGCGGGGTCACAAAAGGGTCCCTCAAAGGAAAGAGAGTTTGGCCAGTCATGACTGGGTCCCTTTTCGTCCCGTGGGGGCCAGAAACAATCATTTGTTTGGCTCAAAAACACGTTCCCAAACCACCTTGGAAACTGGAAGACTAAAGTCCGTGTAACCCTAGTTGAATTTTGAGCCATACCATCCGCTGGTTTCTTGGGCGCAGCGCAAGGTCCTGTCGTCCACGGCCTTCTTCGTGGCTTTGGCCTTCGTGTACAGCGCCGGGATACGCAGCGAGAGCGCGGCGTTCTTGACAGACATGGGCCATGGGCCAAAATCCATACCCCCAGTGAACATCCCAATCCCCACTCAAATAGACTAAAATGGGCACTGGCTAGCTACTCCCAAAGGGGCCCGCGGTTCATTCAGGGAGACTTCGGAGCGCCCCATACAACCCTCAAAAGCTATGGTAGAGCCAAAAGTCACTGGATTCATGGGGTGTCGATTTTGGGTCTCTGAAGCCAGCGCAGCTGCCCTACGTTGCCCTTTAATGCCCTAAATGGATGGTGCGCGGATCGATTTGTGTTGGATGCCTTCGACTCGCGTGACAGGCCTGGTCGATTCAGCGGCATCGGGTGCAGAAGCAGAGAGAGGTGAGCCGAAGTCAGCTTGGGAAGGGAACTTGGGTGTGGCCTTTTGTGAGGATACCCCTTTTGGAGTGTGTTTTGAAACCACTTGAATGCCAACCATTTTGTGGGGTTTCAAAAAAAGACATACCCGCTTCAAAAGGCGCCTGAAAAAGGGAAGTGCCCTCTCATAAGTTGCCCTTTTTGGAAGAAAGGCCTAACTCGAAGGTGTCCTTACATCTGCCAAAGGAGCCAAGGCCGTGTCCTGCTTATCCGGCCCACGTACCACGTAGCCAACACCCCAAGCATGTTGTGGCAAACTCATGAGCCCTCAAGTGGAGTTAACCCGATGGATGAGCCCCCGTACTTGTTAACTCAAAACACCCAACGGAGAAGCCACCAGGCAAGTAACGTGTGCAACAACCGTTTGCTGACCTACCAGTCGCGCCCGAAGTTGGTTTCTCAACTCCTGCGAGATTGTGTTTTACAATTGGCGAGCATCTTTGGATGGCCGTTGGAAGGGGAAACACAGCGCCAACTGTAACGCCAACTTTAACGTCAGGTTGCCAAGAGACATACCAGTAGCTTTCCAACTGTTAGGGATTTTTAAATCTAAGGCAGTTGGAATGGTTTCGGGCCAACATGTTTTATAGGTCCCCGATGTTAGGAAAACTCATATGTTGGCACGAGACCACTAGCAAGACTCGCCTCTTCCAGCATGTCTCCATGCTTGCCGATAGCTTGCGTGGTAAATGAGAGCCAGCTTCATATCAGGCACCCGCTTGGGCAGACCAAAATGGGTTTGTCTCTAGATTGGGGAACGGTTTCCGAATGGGTCAAAAAGCAATTCCCTCAAGAAATCAAACACTCAAATGGACCTGGAAAAAGGCGGTGGTTCTCGAGGTGATGATGCTGCAAGCGGAGAGCGCGTCTTTGGAGTCGCCCGGGACCTGGGTCCTACCGCTGAAACGGGTTCCATGCCCAACGAGCGAGTCAGGTGCTAAGTGCTACCCGGTTGAATTGGGATGGCTGAAACCCGTGGCTATGTGTTTCAGACAAAAAATTGCTTGGGATTGGTAGGGATGGTCGTGGACCTGTTCGTAGGATTCCCAGGAACCATGATCATGGCCCACCATGGCGCAATGAGGTCTGTTAACAGGTCCCCCCAACAGGTTTACTGGGCCCAAACCTTACGCGGAACGGCTTTTGCCATCACGCGTAATTTGTCTTAGGGGTGCATGTTCGATAGTAGATCAGGTTTGGCAGCCGCATATTTAGGTTTGTCTCCAAGTGGGCGACTTGGTGGCTCCCACAGCCTTTTAGCTTTTTATTGTTTAGTATTTAACCCACTAAAAGTTAAAAAATGTTTAACTTTTAGCAGGGGATCTGAGGGTAGCCCAGTGTTGTTGGCATGCTTTGAGGTTTCTAGCTTGCTTGGTTCTGCTCACCTTTAGTAGGCTTCTGCAAAAAAGAAATACTACTACATCGCTGGTCCATACCAAGGGTTGGACAGTTTCCATTTGATCGTCCTTGTCAACAACCCTTTGACACGTACCCCAAAAGCATCAGGATCTACTCCCCGCAGCGCAGTCTACGTTTGCTCAAAAAATGATCAGAGCCCGCGTGCGAGCACTGCTTCCAGTTACTTGGGCAGTTGGTTCATTTGCCCGTGTCGGTGTTACAGGGAGTCTAGCACTAGGTGTTTGCTACATTTTCTAGCGGACTCGGGCAAATGGAAGACAGTATGTCAATGGTTGCCCACAATGATCAACAACCCGCGGGAATGTATCCACTTGGGGCATGCTCGTTTTTTGTTTTCTCCAAAAGAGTTGGTTTCTTGGTGTTGGCTTCAAAATTTGGCTTCAGAGATCCATGGCCAGCCTAAGGTCCGCTTTCTGTGGCCTGGAAACCCTCCGGAGAATTTCCGATCCGTGCGTGAGCTTCAGGCAGCGGCATTTCTCAGGTCCCAGCCTGAGCGGAGCAGAGTCCCAGGAGTTGGTTCCCATGATGCCAGGACATAGGTGTGATTCCCCTGTAAATACCAACCAACCATGGTTTGACCTGGTTTCTTAGGTGGTGCAGGATTTCGTCCATCGACAGTAGGTGTTCCCTTTGATTTGGTTTGGTTGAAAAATAGAGGGCGATTCCTGGTTTACCTGGTTCAGTCATCTACCAGGGCCACCTATTTATGAAAGAAAGGACGCCTATGTACCAGGACCCCCCCCTTTCCCTCCCCCCCCCCCACGTAGGAGAACTTGTCGACTTTGGAAGGCCTTTCATGGATATCACAGAAGTACAAATGCACTCCCCGCAACCTCGGTTGCTCCCGTTTCTGGTTTGGACGGGGTAGCCGACCTTTTCTGGGTTGCACTGACGATGCTGATTTTCGACTGGGGGTAGAGACCTGCAGCAGTCTGGTGCAAGGGTACATAAAGAGTCATCTCGTCACGCCTGGGCACATGAAGGACCTCATGTGACACGAATTTGCTTGGAAAGCAAGTTTCACGTTTCTTGGCAAAGCCACCGTGCGGTAGGGCCGCCTTGTGCCTGCGCAAGCGTGCAGTTGCCACCTTAAATTCGGACTTGCCTTGGAAAGCCGAAGCAAGCCAACCACCGACTGCAAAGGGATTGCGCTTGTCTCTTGATGTAAGGTTATTCGAAGAGGGCATTTGGTGTTACAAGGACAACGGACGCAAACCTGGCAGGAGAAGCCCCGCATGGCCGCAAAAGGCGTGTGTTCCAATAGAAACTGATGGTTTTGCACAAGCCCCTACTTCTGCGCGTCGCCCGGGCGCATGAAGGACCTCATGTGACACGAGTTTGTTCGGTAAGGAAGTTTCGGATGTTTCTTGGCAAAGCCACCATGCTCTGGGGGGTATAAAAACACATTTACCGGTAGCTGGCATGGCTGAGGGTATGTGTTTTGCTCACAAGGAAAGGCCTACTAGGTCTGCGATGTCAAGCAACTATGAAGATAATCCTCTAACAAATCGGTAGTAGCTTCTTCCTGTCATTCCGTTTCCCCACCGAGTGACATACTCATGTGTTGCCTCGATGCTTCAAGATGCTTTCCCCCCTCAAAGCACTACCCTGCGGGAAGGGAAACGTACGTAGGGGGGGGGGCAGGGACACTCAGACACCATTTTGCAAGCCCCAAACCCACCTCGATGAAGGAGGTTTGCAACTCCATGCCCCTTAGGGTTTCGGGAGAAAGTGCCCGCTGTTCCCTGATTCTTTCTTCGCCTCTCTCGCCCAGGATATGGTTCGACACTCGGCTGAGCCGTGGAGCGCTTTGCGCGCGAGTGGTTCAAGAGAAGCTGAGATCGGCGCTTGATTGCGCTGGCTGTACTCTAGGTTCACCCGAAAGTGTCCCCTCTTCTTAGGGTTTATACCAACATGTAGGGCAGTGTGAGGCCATGTAAAGTCCCGAGCCATGAGGGACGCAGGGTTACATTTGACCATAGTTCTTAGGTGAGCGATGCGGCCGGTGGGAGCTCACGAGGGGGCGTTGAGGACACCGGCACACATGGGTTGTCCAACGGGTATGGAACCCGCAAAAATATGACCCCCCTTGTTAGCCTCTTACATCAAATCGGGCATTGTTTTCCTGCCAACCTCTGACACGCTTCATATTTTCTCGGGCGAGAGGTGGGTCTTACTTTCGGCACATCAGCTTGCCGATTCAAAAGCAACCATTTCGGGGCAACCAACTTCAATTGGCGTGGGTCTGTGTACTCAACCGCCCCACATAAGGCCACCCTTTTCCTTCAAACCCAAGCTTTCCATGTTTCTCTCCCCAGGAAAACTGGATGCCATGGCATGGCACTGAAATCCGAGGCTTGCAAGATGTCCATGCCCCTCGGGGGGGGGTCCTCTTTACCTGCATCTAAAGTAGCTGACAAGGAAGACCCTGAAATTTACCACTGGTTGTGGGAGGTTCAGTTCGGCGTTCCTAAAGCATTCTAGGTCAATCAAGTCGAAAAGGCTGGATTCACATTGACCTCCATTTTGAAGTGCCCAGGGTTTACTTGCAAGAGTCAGGCGATCAGCCATAACGCCAACAGTCGCGTCAATGAGACATGGGCGTGCTGACTGCCTGATGGCTCCAGTGAAGCGGCAACTTGAGGCAACAAGAAGAGGTACAAGACCTGAAGGGCAAAACATGCGCCCAAGCCACGTGTAGATCACGTGAGCGTTGGGCCTCTAGACTTTTGCGGACCCTGTGCCGGTCCATACCGACTCCCGACCAAGTCTTCTTAAAAGGTGTACACTGAAGTAGACTTCAGATGCGCGTCATACCCACAGCCCATGCAATCTTCTCCAGAAACGAACTCCATCTTCTCTAGAAACGAACTAGATTCGCTTGGTGCCAGACTCATGTCATTCCCGAACTTTCAGCTCACTCACCTCACCTTTTGCAGGCCTAAACCGGGCCCCAAAGCCAAGAGCCCCGGATTTTCCACGCTTCGATGGCTGAAGGTGTCAGGATGCTCAGCCGCAGATCGAATGCAGCGAGCTTTACTTAAACGAAGCTGCAGGATCACCTCGATATGTTTGTTTCGCCAAATCCCTGGAGTTTCTGCTTGATCTTCCACTGATTTGCGGTTTTTCTCCCTCCCCTCGAGAAAATGTTAGCCAAATCCCTGAGTTTCTGCTGGATCTTCCACTTTGCGGATTTTCCATTTCCCCTGAAAACTTGGGGCACCAATTTTCTGGGACACCATGCCCCAGAAGTGGCATGGCAGTCCACCAACCAACCAACCAACCAACCAGCCAACTTGAAAAACGAGCAACCCGACAACCAACTGTTTTCTGATTGTAGATGGGATATACGGCTGCACCTGGAAGCGCCACAAGAGCTACAAGAGTCCCTTGACTCTTGTGGGGTGTGGTGTGAGGACAGACTTTGGACACCAAACTTCCATTTGGTTAAACATATTGTTTATTTTTCCCTGTTGGTTTTAAAGGGAATCTATCACTACTGGAAATAAGCTTCTTCTTTTTTCATGCGGACTTGAGCAAATGGAGGAGGAAGCTCATCTTGAAAGTCTCTTGTCTCGGCTGCGAAAAAAGAGCTCTGGCTGGTTCCCTTGGTCCTAACCCAAGGCGTCCAAAAGGCTTGGGACGCGCCAACTCTTTGAGACAAATCCGGAGATTCAATACCAACGAAGAGGGAATTCTCATCTGGGTTCATATGGTAATGATATACCATTCCTTTGTTGCCAGCACTTTCCTCAGGCATTTCAGGTCTCCAGATATTACCTCTAGATTTGTACTGACCCGTGTCGGGCAAGATAATGCCAATAGAAAGTAGAAACACAAGACAACAAACAAATCAAGACATAGGACCAGTATTATAAATAAGATGCCTATTATCTGTCCATCGCTTCCACCATCATAGGATTGCAAACCTGTTCATGTTGTTTTTTTCATGTTCTATCTATTATTTTAATCTCTCATTCCCTCTCTACCAGGAAATGATTCGGTGGGAAAGGAACTGGGTCACTATGATTTTATCTCTACCGTCATGTTTGTCCTCTCCTCACCACACGCTAACTCCGTCTGTGGGAGAGATAAGACAATAAGAAGTGTATTGGCGTTTCCAAAGGTTACGCCTCACTTTCACCTGCCAACAAAGGCATTCTGGACGTGGCGGGCAAAGATGGTGAGTCGTGGAGTAGTGAGTCATAAGATCTGTCAAAAGACCACTTCACAAACTTGAGATGCCATTTGTTGCCTGAAGCAAGCCAGACACCCAGTGAAGGCTACTAGTAGAAACAGGACGAAACAAAGGAAGGGTGTCGTTGTTTTCGGGGGCAACCTTGGGCTCCATTTGCAATCGTTTGCTAAAATGATGGTCCAGATACTCTCCACCAATTAGCATGAAACCTGGCGTTTCGGGGGTTCCCGGTTTGGACCGTGTTCCTCTTAAAGGGACCCTCTGAGGTTCCACGTGAATCGCTGGGCTTTACTACCGCCTGAGGTCGATGCAAGCGCTTCCGAAGCGCGGGACATCGATGCCGCGGCCAAGGCCGCGTGGGCGGTTTCCCTAGCGACCATCTGGAGGACAAACGTTCGGTGCGGTTTGTATTTCTGGTATCCTCGTTGTTGCCTCCCGGTTCTGATGGCATTTCTTGTACTTGCTGCTGCGATTTGTGGGGAATGTGGTTGAATGAACCGTTTTGGAGTCTCCGAGTAAAGGAGTCACCTCCAACTTGGGCTGGTGTTTCTTGGGGTCATTCCCTCATCACTTAGAAACCGCACCAACGAGAAGTAGGGTAGCTTTGAGGACGTCGCGGTGCTTGACATCTGCGCAATGCCGCTCCCCCGAAACAGCGAAGATTCCTCGAGTTTGATTCCCAGCTCGTACTCGCTTTCGCTGTTCCTGTCCAATTCCTTGCGCCCTGCAACTGACTGGCAGACATGATTTCACCTGGCTACGACAAAAGCAATGAGCTGGCAGTAGATGGACAAATTCATCAGCCCCCCAGCAGCTGCAGCGCACACGCCCATAGCCTCCAATGTCAATGTTACACTGGGCACCAGCGATTTTCACGTCACGCGGGGTTGATTTGATTTTTCCACCCAGCCTAACCCTCCAAAGGGCAGTAACATTGAAATGGGGGGAGTGTGCGAGGGGTGCGTTACATTTGTAAGGGTTTGATTAATTCGTCCACCTATGGTTGGGGCGCAACATGATGCTTTAACTCTCAAAACAATTGTCACCACCAGGCGCACTTTGGACGAGCTCTTTGCAACAATCGTACAAATAAACATGAAGCGGTCTCTGAGATGACTGTAGTTCTATGATTGTCGGGGAAGGTTGCTGCACAAAAGACAGATGAAGACAGCACAGGATGAGAGAGGTGTTGTTTTGTCAGAAGGTATTACTGTATCCAACATGGGGGTGTCGCAGATTGACGATCTCAAAAGGGGTCTCCCCAAAATGAGCTTGCTGCAATTAGTTTGAGGTTACCCTCTGAAACGGCTGCGTTTCGGCCAGCCAATGAACCACATTTAGACACACCTCAAACCGATTAATGTTCACCCCGAATTAATAAACCCCTGGTTGATGAATAGGAGGGTGTCCCCTTTTAGTGGCCACATGTGGCCACTTTTGGAGGGAACACCCCCCTAATAGTGGGACGGGTTCTGCTTACATCCTGGGTCAACATTCATCTTGGCTTCAGCCAAACCATGACTTCTACGGTTTGCAGGCCCAGAAGGTCCCCCCGCCCGATTCCCATGGGCGGCCGAATAGGACCCTTGGGGGGTTTCCGGTTTCTGCGACGCAAGATTCCAAGGTCAAAACGATCCACATAGCACCGCGGGCTTCGCGACCTCCAGGTTCCTTATATTAGACTATGAACATTCAGAACTGTGCAGGACCTGCCGCAGCAGCAACCGGCAACAATACCACCAGAAGCCGATGGGCAAAACCGATACCCCAGGTGTTTGTTGATCACAAGGGTCAAGCCGTGAAACTGAGCTCAAAAACAGTCCTAGAGGTGTGCAACAGAGTCGAGCCCTCCAATGGTGACCACCACAACCACAGCCATGTGTGCTTTTCTGTTTTTCCCGGGGGGGGCGGGGCAGGGATGGGAGACAGCTACCCAGAAGCGGCGGTTTCCCAGGTGAGATTTTTGTACATGGCCATAAACTGTGGCGATTGATCCGTCACAGGGGGCATGAGGACTCCTACATGACCGCTTAAAACGTTGGCAGACTTCGCGTAGTTTTGTGTCCATGTTGATTGTTTCTTCATTTTTCTGTTCAGCCTGCCAAAGCTAATTGGTTTGCACCTTGTTTTGCTTGAGGATTGGTGTTGCTTTTCGTTTGAGACCCCCGTCATTATCTAGGGATATCGATCAAGGAAGCGGATTCAAGCACGAAGAACACACGACAAGTCGGGCCCAGACTGCACTGCACTAACCGTTTCGCCTAATTCTTCCTTTAAGGTCTCCTTCATGTCTCCTGCCTGCAACTACTTTGTTGATCATTCTTCTTCACCCTGATTTTCCACTTTTGCCCCCTTTAAAAGGGTCGGATCCATTTGGCCCGCAATGAAACAGCACATGGGACCGCGCCGGCCTTGACAGGCCAGCGACGCACTGCCCGAGAGAGCCTCGGCAGATTCGCGGCAAGTTGCTTGGCGCTGGTGATATAACTTTCTCCCCAAGACTATGTTATTTAGGGTTGACTAACTATGAGGCAGCTCTTTAATGTTCTGTGTACACAAGATTTGGGCCAAGTCTTGGGCGTACATGCCAGTTGGTTGAAGAATTTGATCGGTCAGTTTGGGGTTTTACATCCGTTGCATCCGCAGTGTGGCTGTTCAAGCGTGAAAATGTGCGAGCAGCGCACTTGGACGGTTTGTTGTTTCCTTTTGGGCCCCAAACCGGTAACCCTTGAATCTATAGGTTATCAGCCGTAGGCCCCTAGCTCTAAGCAATGGACGGTTCCCTTGTGCCAGTTGATGGATCCAGCATGCCTGTGGATGCTGCCGGAGCTAGCTCCGGCAACGCCACCGGCGGCGGTGTGCGAATGTTCGCATCAAGCGCTAATGCGCAATACAACCGCACCCTGATGAATTCCCTTCAACTGTACAATACCGCAATCTTTGCTTTTGGGAATGATGCAGCCATTAGGTCTGAAGCCGAAGCCCTGCATCAAGCAGCTGTAACGCATTTGCAAGCGGAAAACCGTGAGGAGCTCCGTGCCGCACAGAATCAGCTGCATGCACACTACGCTGAATGTGTGCAAGCCCAGTCGCATAGGATTCGTGAATACGAACAGCGAGTGAGCGATGAGTTCATGCAAGAAGTGAACTTCGCTGAAGCTAGGATAAGCCAAGTGTGTGAGGAAAATGCCCAAGCATTGCATGAAGCGGAAATGGGACGCAAAACAACTGAGTTTAGGCAAGCCATCGAATCCACCCTGGCTGAAGCCCAGCAGCTCCTCCATGAGCAAGCTGCCAAGCATGCCGATGACACAGCCCGTGTCGAGGCTACACACGCCAGAACGGTTGACATGATGGCACACCAAAACGGGCTTCTGCAGGACGAGCTTGATGAGCTGAAGAAGTATCAGAAGCAACACGACCTCCGCGAGGATGGATCGAAGCCCAAAGGGGTAGGTGATACCCGAGAGGATTCACCAGAGTTGATGACCGACGACATGAAGTCAGCTCGGTCCCAAAGGTCAATGTTGGACCCGTTGACCCATCCGTTTCAATATGCAAAGGAAAAGTTGAGGTCGCTTGTTACCTATGACGGTTACGGGGATGAATATACCCCTAGCGTGATTCCAACTGCCGAATGCGAAGCACTGCCCGCAGATGCTCGCGATCCGCAAGGACCAGCTGAAAAGCCATCAGGTAGCAGCCGATCCCCGGTGAAAACAAGTGCACCGGTCCCACCCCTGCAATTCTCTCAGGGGCCAATGTCAACTGACCGCAAGCAGGGTGGTAAGCCTCCCGGCGGTCCGCCACCTGATGATGATGGCGATGGCGATGGTGATGAAGACGAAGGTGATGGCCTTGGGCCTAACCTCGGCCAAGAAGCATTCGCCAAAATGTTGATGAAGTTAGTAAAAGGCCACACGAACGATGAAAAGCCCAGAACCCGCGAAAGCGAGACGTTGCGATTCAAGGAGATGCCAACTCCTGAAACGTACCGTGAATGGAAAACATCGGTTCGTGAGGATGTCCGCGCTGCATCTGACCGTCCAGACGAGGCTTGGCCTTGGATCATGGAAGTCTGGTCTGATCGCGAGGACAAGAAGAAGCTGTTGGAGGAGCTCGGCGAACCGGGAAAATTCGTGACCCTAGACACGAAGATTCTCGCAGCGCTCACGCGTTCAGCGAAAGGCGATCTGGCTCAGCGAATCCTAACAGCAAAGGAAGAATGTGCCAAGGAGGGAAAGGCCATGAGAGGAAGGCAGGTCTTGTTTATGTTTGACCAATATTTCAAGACCAGTGAAGAAGCCGGAAACCTCTACTCCTTGGAGGACCTGTTGCGTGTCTCGCGACACGGCGAAGGAATCATCGATCTCAAGCGTTTCCTGAATGCTTGGGATTCCGTGATCGCCGGCATGAAAAAGCCGCCGGAAGAAAAGGTGTTGAAAGACATCTTGCTTCGCCAAGTGAGAAGCTGCCATCTGTTGCGGTACGACATCGACACATATGATCGTTGCCGTGACGATGATCCCAATAAATCGTACGATTTCCTAATGCGTTGCATGAGGGATCTAATCGAGAGGGATAGGCTTCGCGAGAACCGAGAGCGCGTGTCCAAGGTCAATGCCAGTAAAGCCCCGACGCCCAAGGCTGGTGCTGCCGCTCCTGAAAAGAGGGACCCCAAGAAAAAGAGCGCACCTAAGCCGAAGGACGCCGAGGAGAAGTACTGTTTTGACTTCCAGAAGGGCTCGTGCACGAGGGGGGCAAACTGCCCTTACGCGCACCGCAAGGAGCCGCGAGGACGCTCCGCGACCCGCGGCAGGCCAAGTTCCCCCAAAGGCGGTAAGGGAGAGAAAGCACCGTGTTCGTTCTTTGCCCAAGGGAAGTGCACGAGAGGTGATAAATGCAAGTTTAGCCATGCCTCCACGGGCGGCAAATCCGCCGCCGCGGCATCGAGCAGCGAGGCCAATGCAAATCCTGCGGCTAAGAAGCGTGCAAATTCACCTAAGCCTAAGCCCAAGGCCAAAGCCGCTGCAGTCTGCACCAGGTACGCCATGTTCGCAAAGCCGATCAACCCAATTGGAGTGTCATTCGACACCAATGCTCATGTTCATGAAATCCCCGCCGAAGGCGATGGTTTCAAGCTTGAGTATGAGGAACGTCAGTACAATAGGATGTTTCCAAGTGCCAAGGACTGCCCCAGGCCGACCAAACAGACTAACAAGGCAGCGCGCAAGGCCGCGAATCAGTTGAATGCCGTAGTCAAAGCCATGGAGAATGGAGCCCAGCCCGCTTGCGGTTTCATGTGCGATGTGGAATCTGATTCCATCTCAAGCCTATCGTGTGATGAGTGCCTGAGAGTTGCCATGCCGCCTCACGATGTTCGCAAGGATGTCGAAGCGCCAAGGGCAGCCACCCCTGCCCCAAAGGGAAAGGATGTGTGGCTCATTGATTCCGGTAGTGAGCAGGACCTCATCAGCAAGGCTGCACTGAGGAATGCGTCCAAGGCAATCCGAAAACAGGCCCCGCAGCCTATTCGCCTTGTGACTGCAAACGGAAACATCACTGCTTCCGAGATCGCCGACATCAATGTCGATGCATTGTGCGAGCCTGCTCAGCCTTACATCCTCGAGAGTTCTCCCGCAGTGCTGTCGCTGGGTGTGAAGTGTCTGGATCAAGGATATTCCTTTCATTGGGAATCCGGGAAGGCACCAACCATGGTTCGCCCTGACGGTGCTCTGATCCAGCTCAAGGTTGACGGTCATGTGCCATACATGGACTCTAGTTGTGAAGCTGAGCCATCGTTGAGTGCAGTAGCAGCATCAAAGCCAGCGCCTGCGCCAGTTCATGACGAAGGCATCGACGAAGGTGATGATCCCGACGACGAAGTTGAGCGGTTTGTGAGATCCCGCAAAGAGCAAGATCTGGTTGCCGAAGCAGGTACCAAAGAGCACTTGTTTGCACACTATCCGAAGAATCCCTTTTGCCGCACTTGCCAACGTGCCAAGATGCTTGCCCCATATGCAAGATCGAAAGGCGGGCAGGGAAGGCTCGAGACGAAAGCGTTTGGAGATCACATCATTGCTGATCATGTGATTCTCAAGGCCAACATCGAGCAAGGCATAAAAGGTGAATGGTGTGCTCTTGTGATCAAGGACGTGCATACGCAGTTCAGGTACGTTTACCCGTCGACCAGCAAAAGCACGGAGCAATCCGTTGCAGGGATCCAGCATTTCATTTCCGGTAGGGATGAGGTTGAGGTTCTCTACACTGATAACTCCCGGGAATTGAAAGCCGCAATAGAGCAGTTGGGGTACCGTCATCAGACCTCCATTGAATATGTTGATTCTTCCAAATCTTTCGTGGAAAGGGAAATCAGACATCTGTTGGAGGGAGCACGTGCGAACCTTGTCCAGTCAGGGTTCCCACTGTCGATGTGGCCATTTGCCATCCAGCACAATGCAGTTGCGACCAACATCCTGCCACAGTTGAATGGAAATGATTCGCCATGGTACCTCAGGTTTAACAAGACCTTTGATGAAGCTGAGATACCTTTCGGAGCAAAGATACTGTTCTGGAACAACCCTGCACGAGCTGACAATCAGGCAGGCAAGACTTCGCCAACATCGAATGAAGGCGTGTTTCTCGGGTACCATATTCAGCCCGGGTTCGCATGGAAGGGTGAGTTCCTCGTTGCAAAACTAGAAGGGCTCGATTACCATATCGAACATGCGTCCCTCACGGTACAGCGAACAAAGCGCATTGAGCTTCCGACTGATGAGTTCATCTTCCCGATGAGGTTGTTGAAAGACCCTGCATCTCATCCACCTGTTGCCAGTGCTAGGATACGAGATGATCCTGTGCCGTTGGAACGTGGGCAAGCCCACATCGAGGAACCCGCCGCATCGGAGAAATCCGAAGCGAAGACCAAGCCTGTCGTGCCCGACAAAGGCGGCGCATTCGACCCGAGCATAATGCCTGATAAGTCACCAGTACCTGATGGCTATGTGTGGGATGGGGTTCGGCTCGTCCGTAGGAAGGCCGGATCCAAAAGGCCTCCCGATATCCCGTCTGACATGTGGGTCATGCTCGGCAGCCAGGACCGAAAGGCCCTAACCCAGCAGTACGAAGATCAGCTCCGTGCAGATGCCAAGAAGGCAGTGCTTGAGACAGCAGTCTCTTCGGAGGCCAGATCCGAGCACCCCGAAGCCGCATCGAGTGCAAAGCCGACCAGCGCCGCCCGCGAGGGCGAGCCGACATTGCCTGTGATCCGGCACGCGCCTGCGATGTCCGTTCTTCCGGAACGTGACAAGTCATCGAAGGAGCCGCATCGCCCGCAATTGCGTGAGTTGGTCAAAGAGCGAATCAAGAAGGTTGAATTTGATGTTGCTCTTGAACTGTTCAGTGCAGTCGTTGCCAGGCTTGTACCAAAAGCCGAAGTAGC